TAAAAGATAATACTGTTGCAAACAATGTTCAGTTTCTTGTAGACCAATCATTGTGCTTTAAAAGACCTCAATCTATCATCTGAACTCAAGGGTAACTCTGAAACTAACATTTACATCTGACATTTATAAATTTAGCAGACACTTTTATCCAAAGCAACTTACAATTGAGAAGAAAGCAATTCAAATAATTAGAGAGCAGCAGTATATAAATGCAATGACAACCCTTAATATTATTATCATTATTATATTACAAATACACTTTATTAAACATGTACACATAGACATCACCTATATGCTATAAAACTGCAAGTTACCTGTTTAAATATAATAACCTGTGATTGTAACTTTAATAAAATTTAATGCAATAATGTGCACCTTTGTAAAGCTGCTTTAAAACAATAATCATTGTAAAAAAGTGCTATACAAATAAACTTGAATTTACTTATTATCATTATTATTATTATTATTATTATTATTACAATTATTATTAATATTACCAAATAATACATTATTATGTTTTTTTTTTTCTCTCAAAGTGTCAGTCTCTCTTACAAAACTTCACAAAACCAAAGCTGTTTTTTTATGTTCAACTAAGGTAAAAAAAGAAAAAGTCCCCTAAACCTTGGTTGACCTAAAGACTGATTTATACTTCTGCATCGAGTGATCGCCATGACCCACGGTGCATGCCTTGAGCATTTCCGCTCTGCAATAACACCTCCGAAACACTAGCTGGCAGCAGGTTTTATGTTTCTCTATGTCGAGTTTCTTCACTGGTGTTTTGTTTAATCTGAACACTACCTTAACGTACAAGTAGCTTAAATGTTTATTCAGAGGTGGGAACTGGCAGACGTGCAACAACTTTAATCATAAGGTAAACACAAAACAAAAGAGCTCCTTCACGCGACACTTGCCCCTTGACGCGACACTTGAAAACCCTCGCTCCAACGGATTCAAGTGTCTGTCACCCCTGCCCACACTCAGCACAGCTACCAAACCAACCAATCACAGAGCTTGTGCTATGTGTCGTTGCGACTTTTAGTTAATTTGTTTTGAGAGGTGTGTGTCAGCGTCAGGTTTGGCGCCGGACCGTACACATACAGCCTGATGCCTCATTCAAACTAGCAGCGACTTTGTAGCTGCCTGTTGCTCTAGGTGATGACCTGCTCCACCCAGAGCGAAAAAAGTCGCTCTTTATTTGTCTTTTATACTGTCGCTTGTGTAGATGGAGGTCACTCACTCTCCTTTGAAATAAACGGTTGCTTGTCGCTTTGCCACTGCGAGTCGCTTGTAGTGTGAATGAGGCTTTGAGGGTAAGTCGATTAATAGAATGTGTTAATCTTTTATAGAGCACATTCTCTGGTCGATATATATCTTTGCTATATATTTCAGGATGTCAACATACTTAAAAGCAAACTCAGTGTAGTCAAAATAAAGATAATATAAGATAATATAGATGAAGATGATATTCAAGGTCTGTGGGTTTGCCTATATCCCGAGTGGAATGCAATTATGATACTGGTGGTCTTTGTTGCCTACCATTGCAGGTGCACATGCTTTCCCAGCTGTGCTGCGGGGTTATGAAGTTCATCCGTGCTGTGGCGTAGTTACTCATCCTCCCCTGCCTCATCACCACTGTGTTCTTACAACCTCTGGGTGGGCAACCAGCACCCACACACCCATCATGCTTTAGCCTTAAGACATTCAAACCCAGCGTATCTTCTACAGTGGACAGAACCCCAGTCAGACGTTGAACAGGCACAGACTTAACGGAACCATCCTGAGCACGCCGGACCAGCAAAACCTCAGTGTTGACAGAGTTTGGCTGCTGTTGCAAGCTGGCGATGTGCAACTCTTGTCGGGGTATGTTTAACTCCTGAGCCAGGCTGCGTTGGAGGCCTCTCCAGTGGTCAGAGACGAATTCTTCTGCAGAAATTCCAGCCAACTGCAGTGTGAAGCCCTGATCCAGGTTTTGCTGAGTGGCAGCCCAAACATGGACCTTCACTCCAGCCCAGATGCTAAATTTCCCGTCGGTCACGCTCACGTTCAAGTGATACAGGCCTGGATCCAGGTTCTTCTCCACTACAATCTTTCCATCAACTGTGTCCACAGAAAACAGGCCTTTGTCCTGGCCCTCGGAGACCAGCTTGTAGGACAGTACATCTTGGGGATCTTGGTCAGTAGCGTGCAGCTTGCTGATGACACTCTTCAAGATTGGACCACCAGCAGTGGTGATGAAAATCTCAAGCGGATTCACAGTAGGTGGATACCGGCTCTGCTCTGTGATGTTGATCTTCACCACGCAGATAGAGGACAGTGGAGGGTGGCCGCTGTCAGTGACCTGTGGAGATGATATTTATGTGAAGTGTGAAAAAAAGTATTGTGACATGTGAACAGTGCACTGACCTTTAAGGTATCTCTTTAAATTATTGAAGATGGTGGTAAAGTCACTGGTTCACAGATAGCAATCAAGTTTACAACCACTACTGTACTCGTTCTATTCTGTTTGAAGGTGTGATTCATTTAGAAATGAAAGACTGTGTCATCATTTATTCACTTTCATATTGTTCCAAACCTGTATGGCATGTGTTTGTTCTTCTGTTAAAGATTGAAGCAGATTGAAGCAGATATTTTGAAAAACGTTAATGGGAACCATAAACCTTTTAGAATGTACTGTAACTAAAACCGTTTCAAGAGTTCACACTTAGCTAATGATTGATTATAAAGCCTGTTTGGCATGCTGTCCCAGGAGAGAACTCTGAGCTCATAAGATCCTCAAGCCTAGGGCTCTCTCCTGTTAAAGGGCGAGAGGGGAGTTTGAGCTCTGGTAGATCTTGAAAACTCTCCTGCTGTAGTAGCTAATGAACAGATAGTGATTGCTCTTAAGATATAACTACTTACTGGGAGCGCATCTATGATGCCGATTTGGATTAGTCAATTGACTTAAGTTATGTGTTTTTGGTCAGTGGGAGGAAACCGGGGGCCCAGGGAAAACCCATGTGAGCATGGAAAGTAAATGTAAACTCCACACAGAAACTCCACACTAAGGTGGCAAACAAGTTTGAAATTCTGATTCCTATTTAAATTAATAGAATAGTTAAAACAGGGTTTAATATTAATATTAACAGCATAGTTGTAATAAATGTAAAATATTTAAGAGTTTGTAAAGTGAATTTTGTACATATTTTATTTATTTTTATTTTTAATACCCATAAACATTGTCAATACACTGCATTTCATTCAATTTTGCCTGCTGCCATGTGAACTTTTCATGTACAATATTAATTTTCAAACCTGAACACAGAGAAAATGTTGATTATATTATTCAGTTTGTACTTATTGGTCATATACAGCCTATTGATTCCATAGTTAAAGGGATAATTCACTTAAAACTACAAATGTAACAATTGAAGAGAATGACTGGGACACTGTATGCGATGATACATACCCGAAATGTACCTCTCTTGGGATCCATGAGCCCATGTTTTTTTTTTAATAGGATATATCTTACACCTATACAAATAAGGAAAATGTTCGCCAATGCCACAGATGTGTTTCAAATGTAAAAAAGATGAAGGTACATTCATTCATTGTTTTGGGGACTATGACATAATTTTGCTATTTTGGAAGAAAATGCATAAGGTACTGGAAAATATTCTAAAGCTAAATTTTGATATGACCTAAGCTTTGTATTTACTGAATCTTAATGTGAACAATCTGTTAGATGCATTACAGTTATTTATTGTCCTGGTATATGTAACTAAAAATGTATTAAATGTATTTTGCTACTTTGGTCTGCATCACAGACTCTATCTTTAAAAATCTGGATATAATAAATTGTTACATGCTACCATTAGACAAACTTACCAATGACAACATAGGTAAAAACATTTTTAAAAATCTGACAGATTTTGGTCAATTTGTTCTCCCCTTTGGGAATACATAAAAGAGCTCTCTTAAATGAACACAAAATTCTTGTTATTTACAATTTTGTATGTTATTACTTTGTTATTTTTCATTTTTAAGACTGTACACTCTCTAACACATTTATACATTTTGATGTTAAAATTTTTGAATGTGGACATACAATAAAAACTATAAAAACTAAAAATGCAGTGATAATTTACTCACTCTCTAATGGTTCCAAAACTATCTTTCTTCTGTTGAACACAAATGAAGTTATTTCTGAGAAATCTAAAAACCTGTAACCATTGACTAAGTGTTTTTTTCTACTGTGGAAGTCAATGTTTATTATCTTCTTTTGTGTTCAGCAGAATAAAGAAACTGATAAAGGTTTGTAACCACTTGAAGGTGAGTAACTAATAAGTACATTTTTTTTTTGGTGAACTATTCAATTTATTTCAATTCAATTCATCTTTCTTCATTTATTCTACTGCGCTTTTCCAATGTAGATAAAAGCAGTTCACATAGAAGACTATATTAAATTGAAACTGTGTCAGTCCATTTTTCAGAGTTTTAGTTTAGTTTAGTTTAGTTTAGTTTAGTTTAGTTTAGTTTAGTTTAGTTTAGTTTAGTTTAGTTTAGTTTAGTTTAGTTTAGTTCAGTGTGGTTTAATTTTCACTGCTGAAAGTCCCAACACTGAAGAGCAAATCCATTGATGTGTTTTAACTGTCCAGAATAGTTAACAGAGAATCCTTAAATGCTCAAGATGAATATAGAAAGGCTTTTAAACAAGGCAGATGCACCACATGCATATTGGATAACATTGTTAAGCAGAATGTTTGATTCATATATTTTGTAATGCTATTTTAAATGAATCAATTTTTTGACATCTGGGGATTAGGAAAACAGTGATTGCAAAATTTCCATTTAAACATTAATTATAATAATCATGTTGCACATCCCTGGTATGTTTTTGATGTTTTTGAAAGCAGCCGTCATTATTCACATTCATTATTTACTTAAATTTAACAAACTGGCCAGCAGAATGCAGTGTGGTTTGAGGATTTGTCCTTTGTGAGCTTCGCTTTTTAAATAACTAAGCCATAAACAAGAGACAATAAAAATCTTATTCCATAAAACCATTCCATAAAAAAATGAATGCTAATATGACTGAACATTTAGAACATAATGATGAGTAATTGATGACAGTCTTTTATTGTGGGTCAACTATGCCTAAGCATGTGCTGTAAACATGCTGTACTTGTAGCTGAAGTTAATAGAAGGAATATTTCACCTGGATTTTTAGCAGATGCTGCGGCTTGCCTCTCCTCCTCAGCTGGGAGGATACGGACAGCAGTCCTCCTTGGTCAATGTGAAAACTCCTGTCCTCGTTTCCAGAGACAATATGGAAGGAGAAGGGAGGGCCGTTCTGAGGCGTATCTCTGTCTGTTACCAGCAGCTGCAAAATCCCACTGCCCACAGCCTCCCCTTCCTGCATCCAGAACAACACCATTAATCAGTCGCACGTTTAGAAAAAACCATCTGACTTTTAGAAAAGTTGTACAGTAGCTGTCCTTTCTTCAAACAAGATAAACAAATAACATAAATCTCTTTGTTGCTTTTGATCGGGACCATTCTTGCCTCTAAAATGTGTCAGAGGCAAATCATCAGAAGTGTTGGAAAAGAATAACCATGATCAATCTGTCCTGATGTTTATCTGTTTCTTGCTGTTTTGAAAATCAATAGCGTATTTCTGTCACGGGACTCGTTTTCAATGCCAGATTCCTCTGTGCAAACAAGCAAGCGAAAAAAAAGCAAATGCAGGCTTGAAGAAACAGCCCCAATTCTGTCGAAATGAAAACACTGAAAGAACAGATGGTGATTTTTATCACTCTGTCTGCATTTGTCAACAAAGTGCTACGGATTTGGACGACATGTGCTCGTCGTCTCCCTTCAGGCTGGCACAACTGGAACAGGTAATTGAAATGGAGTGCTCGGCTGGCAGAGATGAGTCTAATTGTTACTGACCACCTACATGGTGCCAAATCGCCGCTGCACTCTAAAGACATAGACACCTTGGGTGGAAATAAATGAGGTGTGAAAAATATTTCCAAGTCAGCAGAGTTGGGCCTATAATTAGAAGCAATAGATCCGGCTGACTCCAAAGGGGTAAAAAGATGGTTCAAACAGTGACGCATAAAATGGCTAGATTATACATGGCTGATAGGCTCTTTAGCCTGAACTCTTGACTTTTTGTGTGCCTGTGTGGAGCTGCAGGCAGAAATGTGATGACGACTGTGTATTCATAAAATATATATTAAGGCATCTGAGCTCAATCCTATTCTTGATTCTCTGCATGCTTTCACATTTTAAACCAACTTATGTTTAACAAGCTGACACAAGTTCTTGTAGATGTGTTAAATGTGTTGACACTGAAGGCGGTGAGAAAGTCAAAGGTCGCTGTGGCTGCCCTGGCGACAACACTGTCTGTCTTCAGCTTCGGCGGCGAGAGCATCAAAATTAGCTACAATGAATAAATGTTGTGAACTTTTTATCAAATTCATTTAACAATGGAAGATCAAGTTGCATGTGGTGTGGTTTTACCACTTAATTATCTAATGTGTCCATATGTCTGAAATATTCCTAAGCAGCAACACTATTTTGTATTGTTGCATGAGATTCCTGCTTAAAAAAAAAAAAAAAAAAAAATATATATATATATATATATATATATATATATATATATATAAAATATATATATAACATTAATTCACATTAGTAACTCCCCAGTAACTTTTTAAATGTATGTTTCTATAAGAAAACATTGCAAACAATTGGAAATCTGGCAACCGCAATAATTAGACCCTTGGAAACAACTGTGGTTGGAACCAGTGTTCACAGTGGTGGACTTCTACATTCTGATTGCTTGCCGCTAAACCGCATCATAGCTCATTACCATAAAGTTGACTTGATTTCAACTCTTCTCGACACCCACAACGGCGAAGATGCACCACGCTGCTCCTTGCCTTTATTTTGAAAAATGACTGTATTCTCTTTGTTACATCTCGGTCACTTGAGCGCCCAAATTTAACCTACAAGCAGCAAAATGAGCAAGAAACAGATGTCTTTGGAAAGTTTCTTTGCTAAAAGGAAAACCCCAGTAAAAGACCTACGAACTGCCAAAGAATGGATCCGCAGCGCATTTGTCAACAAATTAGGTGAATCCACCATGTCTGTGCAAGAAGATCAACTGATGGAGATCCCAAATGCAGGCACCTTTTAGGGGACATTTGCATATCGTGTCTTTTCAAGAGTTTGCACAAGTTGGTTGTTTCCAATCGAGGTGCATGGCTTGCATGCACAAGTAACGTGACGCACTTGTGCCTTCCAGACTAGATGCATTAAGTTAAATAAATCCCGCAAGTGCACTGCATGTATATAAAACATGTTATTCCTTGTTTTGAACTGGAGAAATCATCATCTGCTCTGAGAGGATGGTCTCTGGTCTCTCAGATTCACAAAATAGTCCATTCTTTTCAGTTAATGTATAAACATTAGTTTAAAAATGCCTCTGATTGATTCATGAATTTGTCTGATACAATTGCATCAGTTCTTGAGGCAGCAACCCACTGAATTACATAGTGTGGTCAGAGTAAGTCTTCAGTTAGCATTTCACTAATTTAAAAAATCTGTCAGATTGAATCTCTATTTGAAGATTCAATGACTTATCTGGTCCAAGTGTATCTTTAGTTAACAACCAACTGATTGAATTTATCTTGTCAGATATAATTATAACCCAAACAGTTGACTTTACTAAAATTTGTGGAAACTTGTTGCCTTAGAACACTTACGTTTTTACACAAGGTGAATAACTCAAGTTGAATTAACATAGAACTCCTCATTGCACAACATCAAAAAATGGAGTTTATAAACAACAGCTAATGATTTACATATATTCACTTTACTAAGTATTTAAAACATGCATTATAGCTATAATTTTATTGTTTCATATAACACAAACATTTCAACAATTAAACAATTATAAATGTTTGTTAGAATTTTCCTAACACATCTAGCTATGCTCTTTCATGTTAACATAAATAAATATAATAATAATGGATTCTCTTTTTGTTTTCGTTTGTCATTGGGTTTGATGATTTGAATCATATTTCGCGCTAACGATTCAGTGCACTGGAAGAACTTTGCGACTGGTACAGCACTTAAAATGGATGGCGATCTCATCCGTGCACTGACCTCTGAACAAGGGAGCTGATTGATATCTACCATTTGAGTGGATTAAGGCAATGGACTTCCACGCAATTGTATACACTGTAAAACCCAACAGTCAACTTTATCAAATGAAATAAGAGTAGTTAACTCAAAATTGACTGAGAGTAATTCTACTAATTTAAAAAGAGCTTTGAACTCAGTATTAAAGGTAATGAGTTAATTAAATACCTCATTACCTCAGCTTAAATAGAGTAAGTTCACAGTACCCATATAGATTTGTTTTTTGACTCAAATGGTTTGTTGCAATCGGTTTTCTCAAATGGTTTGAGTTGCCTTAACTTATTGGGTTTTACAGTGCTCAGTTGGTTTGAGTTATCTTCATTTATTAGGTTTCACTGTGCTCAAATTGCTTTGTTTACTCAAATGGATTAAGTTCACAGTACTCATTAGGATCGTTTTTGAACTTAAGTGTTTTTTTTGCAATCGATTTCCTCAAATGGGTTGAGTTACCTAAACTTTTGGTTTTTACAGTGTAGTAAAGTCAACTAATTGGGTTAAGAGTGCAAAGCTACATTAAACTTAAATTGTCTTAACAAACACAGGATGTTAACAGGACATCAGACCGACTTTTTACCCCAATGTTGTTGGGGCATTGCATTTTGTCTGGAAATGAAAATTGTGAAGACGTTAAAACCCAAGGTCAGACTGCCGTCAATGTCCAACATCAAACCTAAAATCAATCAAATATCAACATCTAATGATTTTACAGCTTGGCGTTATGTAGAGGTTACCACTATAAAGTCTATCAGATGTTATGTTTTGGTTGTCATACCTGATAAATAAATGTCTTTGAGTATTTGACATCAATATGACGTTGGTTTAAGATGTTGGATTTTGGAAACTTTCCAACACAACTTAAAATCAAACAAATATCAACGTCATTTGACATCGTAATTTGACATCAAAATTTGCCCTTGGATGCTGGCTAGACATTGAATTTTGGTCATCTGATGTCACGACCTAAATGTAACTTAATATTGATGTCTTATGACATTATATGCCTACTGGGGTTGATCTCACTCCTGGAAAAAAACATATATATTATTTTTTTATAATTTTTTTTACAAACTTTGTAAAACTGTTTTTTTATAAACAGTTTACTTTTATTTCTGGGTTTGGTTTACACATAAGTGGTTATTTCAAAAAGCAGAGTTTGTCCGTTATCAGTAAATTTGATGAACATGTAAACAAGCCCATTGTGTGGTTGAAAAGTGGTGTCTGATGTAGAGAAAAAAGCAATGGTCTATTTAAAAAAAAGTTTTCATTTTTACACTGAAATAAGCTCTGAGATCCTGTTATATCTGAAGGTTTATTTCTAAAGCTAATGTGAATTTGTTCTAGATCATTAGGCATGATATTACACTGCGTTGTCTGAAACACTTTCAAAGTAAGTGACAAACTGGTCTAGAAGCAAAAAAGTTCTTGGACAAAGTCTGTGTTTTTTTTACCTGGACAATGAGGCTGTGATTAATCTTGGAAAACATGGGTGGGTTGTCGTTGACGTCAGATACAGTCACGGTCACCTGGACGGCGGAGGATAAAGGAGGATCGCCTTCATCAGCAGCTTGCACAGTTAATGAGTAGTGCGTTATCTGAAAGGCGAGAGCAGTGTCAGAGGGATTATAAAGATATGAACATGATGGCACGGATGTTCAATATCTGTAGTCAAATATGCACAGGAGAGATTAAAATGTTCGCCTGTGATCAGAGGATTCAACTAAAAATCCCAGATAAAACAAGTGGATACGTGTTCTGGGAGGTGATTTGGGAAGGAAACTGAAGCTCACCTCTTCTCGGTCCAGCATGGAGCGCAGTGTTATAAAGCCTGTGCGAGGGTCGATGCTGAACTGCTGCTTTGGATCACCGCTCACAATAGAGTAGATGATGAAGTTATTTGGAGGCCCATCAAGGTCGATGGCTCTTACCTGAGACAGATGAGCAGTGAATGAAAGGAAGATGAGCACACCTGAGTGGTATTAAGCAAAGCTTTAAAGCTCTAGATTATTGCAGATTCTTCTAATCCAGCGATCTGCACCAGACACGGCTAATGCCACGACGATTAACTGAGCAGACAGTGAGTGCTCATATACCATTACTATTAGCTGATTGCTCCGTTCAAAATGTTTTTCTGATTGCTTAACTGACTGATGCGGTAAATCATTCACTCAACAGCTGCCACAATAGCTTGTCTCGATCCCATCGCCATATTGACAACAGTTGGCTTTACTTTGCTTCATAGAAAGCATTGTGGAGAAATTCTGAGACACGTTACAGTCATATCAAGTCAAAGACAATACGAAAAATAAAACAGTAAAAATAAATACTAGGCTATAGAAGTATATTAGATATTATAGATAGAGTCATTCATTCATTTTCTTTTTGACTTAGTCCCTTTATTAATTAGGGGTCACCACAGCGGAATAAACCGAAAACTTTTCTAGCATATGTTTTACGCAGCGGATGCCCTTCAGGCTGCAAACCATCACTGGGAAACATCCACACACTCTCATTCACACACATACACTACAGTACAACCAATTTAGCTTATTCAGGGCTCAAAAATAAGGACGGCCCAGGGCCAGCATGACAGACACTTGGGACAGTAGACCGGATCATTACTGGCCCGATTGGGACAGTGCTGCCTTGTCACTAACATTTAATTTTTCTGTGACTATTTATCAGTTGCGTGCATTTTAAGTTTGTGCTTTTAAGTCTTTAAACACTACCTTCTCTCTTATGTGATAAACACCTTATTGCTTTCTGGTTTCTCTTTTCTGATTGAGAATTACATTTTTTAACGTAACCTGGTAACAACCAGTACAGCGATTCTAAGGCTCAGAAATTCTAAGGCTAAAAGAAAATATCTGTTTCTAACGTCTTGGAAGAGACATTTACGTGTGAACAATGCATCAAAAAAAATGTGATGTTTTTTACAGTTTAACTTCAGCTTGACAATTCCACCACCCGTTGTTAAATAATTTCAAATGGCAATAAAATACCGCCACATTTTCCATACTGCTCTTTTTGTTTGATTTTTATTTTAAGTATTGAAATCCTAGATTCACAGACTTTAATTTTGACTCATTATTTAAAATATGTGGCTAAAAAATAGCTATTAACTTCCCTTTCTTTTTTGGTGGGGCCATTGAAAATTTTGGCAGGGCAAGTAAAAATATGAACCACTGGCACGATCGGACGAGTAGAAAAAATCCTTAGCGTTGAACCTTGTTATTCAATTCACCTATAGTGCATGTCTTTAAAGCACCCGAAGGAAACCCATGCGAACACAGGGGGAACATGCACTCCCTGTGAACTCCACACAAAAATGCCAACTGACCCAGCCGAGGCTTAAACCAGCCATTCTTGCTCTAAGGCAACAGCACTACCCACTGCGCCACCTCACCACCATTATAGATAGATATATTTAGCTATTAAAACATTATGTTTTCTTGCAAGTGTTCAACATTAGTTGATGATTGATAATAGAGCGTATTTGTCATGCTGTCCTGGGAGAGAGCCCTGAGATCCTCAAAAGATCCTCAAGCCTGGGGCTCCCTCCCGTTTGAAGGGTGAGACTGGAGTTTGAGCTCGGGTGGATGTCCCCTTTCATAAGTGACAAATTATACATCATTGTCGAAAAATACTGCTGGCTAGAGCTTGTCTATAGTGCCAATTTGGTTTGTTCAATTCCCCTATGTTGCATGTCTTTAGACTTTGGGAGGAAACCGGGGAACCTAAGAGAAACCCACAGGGAGAACATGTAAACTTCGCACGGAAACTTCAGCTGGCCAGGTAAGCACTTAAACCAGTGACGTTCTTGCTGTGGGGCAACAGTGCTATCCACTGGGCCACCATGCCACCCTGTCAAGAAAGGAAGGAAGAGTAGGAGCGAAAGGTGGGATTCTTCAAACGAAGATACTGAGGTAAGAAATTATAGTTATTTATGGTGAGTTAGGAATTGACTGATTGGTGGATTGTGTATTAGCTAATGCTTGCTGAACCAGCCGTGTTCAGTCATAAGCAAGTGATCCTCTCAAAATTAGTTTATAAATAAACCACACTTTGTGAACAGAAGAACCGAAAAGAAAATGAATGAATGCATAAAAAGCAATACATTGGCAACTAATTACTATATAAGTAACCAATTAACTATCTAAGTTCTAAAGTGACTAAAACAGAAAGTATGAATACAAAACAAAATGACAAAAATCACAAACTTTAATTTTAAATTCTAACTAATTCTAACTGATTCGGCTCCCGATTACATTTGTGATTTGATATCGATTTCTTCTGCCTCTCACCTCGGGTCCCTTCAGCCTCGTTGTAAACTCAGCACCATGGGAGGAAAAATGTCTAAATACACTATTATATAACACTTAAGGTCTTCAGCATTTTTGCTTCTCATGTAAATTTATCTTGGCATATTTTGGCTACATCTAAAGGGTTTTTGAACAACTTTTTTCCACAGTAATTTAACAAAATTTAATTTAACCATTAAACAGGTATGCTCAGAAGTCACTCTGAAATTAGTTTCATGAGTTGCGTTCATGCACACACACTGCCTCCAAAGCCTGATTGAACAGCATGGCAACAAGTCATCTGACAAAGTTTTTGAACACAGCCTAGCAGTGCATCTTCCAGAAAAACACAGTCAGCCTAATTCTGAAGCGCTTTATCGCTGTATGATTTAGTGACAGGTAAGGGGAAGTGTGATACCTGCAGAGCCATTTCTCCAGGTGAAATGTCCTCTGGTATCACTGTGCTGTAGCTGCTGCGGTTGAAGACAGGAGGGTTGTCGTTGACGTCTGTGATATTGATGATAACCATGGCGATGTCACTGAGCAGTGGTTTGCCCCTTGCCCCTTCCACTGACAGGTAATACTCGCGACAGCGCTCAAAATCCAGCGCAGCCTTCACCGACAGCAAACCTGTGACACACAGCAACAGAAATCACATCAAGTCCTGTCTAGCATTCAGAGTCATTTGCAGAAAACATCCAAAATACATATCTCGATTAGTTTTCCAATGTACACTGACCAGTCAGTAATTAAAAAATAAAAACTGGCATCATTTTAGCAAAATATATCCAAAAAAAAAAGTCCAAATACTGCTGGATATTGCTTAATAAAAGTGTGAACAATACTGGCAAATTAAATCTAATTTCCCCAGTGACAGCAAGGCATTACCAGCTGGTCTGGAAGTTTATTGGAGCACAATTCTTGTTTCTAGTGTGAGGTGTAATAATGAAAGATCTGTTCACTGTTTGAGCTCATCTGCATTTAGATTTCTGTCCAAACTAATGCTGCTGTACTGTGTGTAGCTAACACATGTGTAGTGCAGAATAGTGCTGACTGAAAATCAGATTCAGGGAAGCACTATTTAATACTGTCAGATACTGCTTCATTGCTGAATCAGCTGACCACACAGTAAACTTGTGTTCAAACGTGACTAATAACTCTTATGCAGGCCTACTGGCCAGTGGAGTCGGACTGAATGCTGATATCTTTTCTGCAATGTTGCTTTTTCTGTTTTTGCAAAGTGGTTGAGTCCTACAAGAGGCTGATTCATCTAAAGTGTACGGAAAACCGATGGGATTTGCTCTGCGCACTATGGGTAGATGCTGCTATTTTAGACCTGACTCTTGAAAACAAAATGTACTACGGGCAGGGGTGGACAGTCACACAAAATATTTTTATTTTGTTAAGCACATTTTGTCTAGTATCTGCACTTTATCAGAGTATTTATATTTTAAAAAGTTTTCTTTTACTTTATTGTATATTGAACTTTTGTTCCACTGCATGTCATATAAACATGTCATTCATTGTTTTGAACTGGAGAAATCTCCTGTTCATTCTTGTCAGTTCATGTAAAAATAGGTTCACAAACGATTCATTCATGAATTGGGAAGTTCTTTAGTCAGCAGCTCACTGATTCAAATGATCCAGTAAGAGCCAAATAACAATTTGCTGATCCAAATGGATCCAGTCAAAGCATGTCTCCAGTTAACTATTTAGTGATTCAAGTGATCCTGTCAGACTGAACCTCAAGTTAACGATTCAATAATGCAAATGATCTGGTCAGAGCGAGTCTCCAATTAATAATCAGTGACTCAAATTATTTTGTTAGACTGAATCCCCAGTTAACGATTCAATGATGCAAATGATCTGGTCAGAGCAAGTCTCCAGTTGACAATTGACAGATTCAAATGATTCAATGATACAAATGATTCACTAAGATTCAGATAACAACTTACTGATTCAAATTATCCTGTCAGGTTGAATATCCAGTTAAGGATTCAATGATGCAAATGATCTAGTCAGAGCAACTGTCCATTTAACAATTCACTGATTCAACCCTGTCAGATTAAATCTTTAGTTAACAATTCAATAATACAAATGATACAGTCAGATCCAGCTAACAGGTCACTGATTTAATTGATGCTGACAAATTGAATCTCCAAATAATGATCTGGTCAGAACAAGTCTCCAGTTAACAATTCAGTGATTCTAATTATTTTGTTAGACTGAATCCCCAGTTAACGATTCAATAATGCAAATGATCTGGTCAGAGCGACTCTCCACTTAACAATTCACTGATTTAAATCATTCTGTCAGATTGAATATTTAGTTAATAATTCAATAATATAAATGATACAGTCAGATCTAGTTCACAATTAACTAATTTAAATGATCATACTAGTTTGAATCTCCAGTTAACGATTCAATGATACAAATGATCTGGTCAGAGCGAATCTTCAGGTAACAATTGACAGATTCAAATGATTCAATGATACAAACAATACAGTCAGATCTAGTTAATGAATTACAGATTTAAATTATCCCAACGATTCAAGGATGTAAATGATCTGGTCAAAGCAACTATCCATTTAACATTTCACTGATTCAAATAATTCAATGATATAAATGATGCAGTGAGATCCAGTTAAATTTCTGATTTAAATGATCCTGTCAGATTGAATCTTAACAATTCAATAATGCAAATGTCAGAGCGAATCTCCAGGTAACAATTGTCAGATTTAAATGATTTATTGATACAAATGATACAGTCAGATCCAGCTAACAAGTTACTGATTTAAATAATCATGCTAGATTGAATCTCCAATTAAAGACTTAATGATACAAACAATAGAATCAGGCTGAATCTCCAGTTAACAACTCACTGATTCAACTGATCTGGTCAGAGCAAATCTCCAGTTGATTAACTACAGAAAAAATGTAAATAATATATTTATATTTTTTGCACATGCATCTTTCAACTAATGTATCATATATTACAAATAAAACTAATGTTTGCATGACATTCTTCTCGAAATATGTTGCCACAAGAGATTTCTTTATTATTGAATGTAAACATTTACACAGATTTAGTTTATACTCAATTTTACTGTATATACAAGGCAGTAAGGTATATTTTATTATATTTATTTGTTTGCACACTTCAATGATCATTCATAGTCAGCAGAAGTGTACAAGTGTTGGTATTTAAATTTCTTTCTTTTCAAAATAAATGCGCATGCATCATTTAGTACTTTAAATGTGCATAAAAATCAACAAACTGTGTGCTTCAACAACTGTAAGATGAAAATGACCACTTTTACTAGGGTAACATAACAAAGTCAACTGTACTTTTACACACCAAGTACATGTGAATCATCCCACTGACTGAGTCCTATACTTCTCTTACAAACATGCACGTCTGCTCACATTCTCAGAAGGCGCAGAACAACAAAAACATTGCAATTTTTGCTTAGCTCAAAATTCCAGTTTTCAACAAGTGCAAAATTGCTCCCCGTAATGTCTCTTTTTATTGATTTTAAAGATCAGAGGCTATGTTGTGTCACTTAATGGCTTTCCTAGAGATCCACCGGCGTATTATTACTAACAGCACCGTGTTTGTCCTTGGCACATGTTCTGTCAATATAGGTGTGTTTGTGCTCTTACTTGAACACAGAGCTTGTGTTCAATACGAGAGCGGACAGCCGCAGTAAGCACTTGAATGTGCATCAGTGTTCCCTGCATTTCACCATGAACTGTGCATTTGTAGATCATTTGATTGTAAAACAGAGAGCGGTGTGTGCTGAAGAAATGGCTGGGTATTCATAAAAATAACAATCCATTTGGACTGCAGTAAGCTTCAGTGTGAGATGTGCCTTGTTTTCATTTTTTGAATTTACTTTGAACGACAGAAATAACTTCAGAACAGAGATCACAGCAAACAGATCTTGTCGTTGTGATGCTGAACTGAGAGTAATAAGATGTAAAACTGTGACATCTACTGGAAGATCCAAAAACTGGAAAAATATTAGGGTTTGGATGATTCATGCGTTTCTGAAATGACAAAACAAGATGTCTAAAACGGTTATGTTATATTCATAATAGCTCATCTTGTAGTCGAATGTTGATGTCGCACATATGAATATTTTATTGACAATGATCTAGGATTACTTCCCTTCGGCTCATAATGACAAATCACCTGTCAAGAAGCTTTGCCTATTTTCATAATTGCCATGAGAATGCATGGCTCACTTGAATGATGAGCAACACCCATATACACAAAAACTGCATCTTATTGAACTTTACTTTGTTGCTTTTACTTTTACACAATTTGCACCTAGATGTACAGTTCTTACCTAAGACAAACAAGGAAACTACAGGGTTTATTGTAACTATCATAAAAGTTATCATTATATTAGTTATCATAACTATTATAATATAGTTATCGTAAACTTATCGTAACTATTATAATATAGAGTACACTCTCAGAAATAAGGGTACAGGAGCTGTCACTGAGGCAGTACTTTTTCAGAAGGTACATATTTGTACCTAAAGGGTCTCTAATGGTACCTCAAAGATAATTTTTAGGTACATTTGGGTATTAATGTGCACCTTTAGGTACCACTGTGGACTCTTTGGGTACAAATATCTATCTTTTGAAAAGGTACTGCCCCAGTGAAAGCTCCTGTACCTTTATTTCTGAGAGTGTACCTATGCATTGAATTGGGCTGTAAAATATAGCGTTACCTGTACTTTTACCCCTCACAGCCTTTTTGTCATTCACAGAATTAAACATGCCATCCACCACGACAAAGGTTTATATGGTGGGAGAAAATAATGAAGTTAATTAGCCTACAGTAACCTGCAAAATGAGTCACTTGTGAAAAATTAACCTTTCAATTTTAATGAACATGTGCAAACATGCAGTTCATCCATCAAGTTAAGGTACTGTATGCATATTTTCAGTCTATTTGAATATTTCTGAGGTCACTTTTTTACTTTTAGATAATCTGACAGTATTTACTAACTGGTAGACCACTGTTCATGAGCTTGTATTTTCTGACATTTCATTAAACTCTCCTTGATTTAAGCGTTCTTTTGAAATGTCAAGAGTTTATTTTGCTGTTAATTAAATCACGTTTTTTTTTTCACCAAAGTAGATTGTCTAATATGCTGTTTTTATTATTTTTGTAAAACATAGCTGCATCATGAAAATCATATTACTCATGAATCCATCAGTGTTTCTGATTCTCATTGCATTTAATTAGGAACAACAGCCAACAGTGAATTACATTTATTTTTTTTTAATCCTAAAATGATTCAGTCTGACCTTGCATGAAAAGGAAAAAAGGCAATGTAATAAAGTGCAAGCCGATTAATGCCTGATTGATGAGTTTCACTTTGACAAGCAAAAAATAAAATCATAATATTAATAAGGCCATTATAGTACCGCATCTATTTTATGACAAAGAATATTCCAGCAATTGCATTTCATTGCACTTGAGTTTTATATTTTGTATATAATATGATATGATATGATATGATATGATATGATATTATATTATATTATATTATATTATATTATATTATATTATATTATATTATATTATATTATATTACTACTGAAATACAGGGTATTTATATAATATGTGTTCAAGCATGCAAACTTCAACTAAAGAGAAAGAAATTGTTCTGAAACAACAGTGGAGAACTTGCAGTAAATAATTTTTGTCACACTTATACCACATTTTGTCTAGATAGCACATCTTGAAATAAATCATTTTAGGCAAATGATTAAAAAGTAAAAAAAATAATATAATAATAATAATATAATAATCATTTATAAGCATTATTGTCTATCAACGTGTTTGAAACGAAACACACAGTGCACTTGTTGAATGAAATAACCTCTAAATAGCCAGTTGCTTTCTGCAGAGAGCCAGACAGTAGTGCATTGTTTGACAACTAATAAAAAGTTTGGCTCAATCCTGCACAAAAGTCCTGCAGCATGAAGGCTCTGAGGATTCGCGATAAGACGACAAGAGTGAGAAAGAAAGAGAGAGAGAGAGAGAGAGAGAGAGAGAGAGAGAGAGGGGTAAAAGGCAGGAACAGATGGGAATAAACAAGCTGACAAGTGCCTGTGTGGATTCAAAACATGTCAGCGCAGGTTCTTCAGTTCAACATTTACTCAGGCTGAAGAAGATTCCAGGATCCCACAACAGGAATAAGTCATGGAGGATCAATAGCAGTGGGCAAATATAAATGTTTATGAAGATAAAACTTAAGCTTTTTTTTACACATCTTGTGTAATCTTTAGTGACACTGACTTTAAAGTTTTACCTAAGACAATGTATATGAACCTTTTTTTTTTACCCTTTAACTGTCACTCGACTGTTTGAGTTCATACTTCAAAATGATATATGGCATATTTTTGTGATATATAGTTTGTCAAGTTGAAATCAGGCTTAGACAAAAATATACTAAAAAATAAAGTTAGATGTTAAAATGGTATAATAATTTTACACATTTTTAAAAAGAAAAAAAAGTGTTTTTAAAAAGTGTTATTGAAGTATCACAGAGTAACTATTTTTTATTAACAGTTTGTTTTATGATGTATTATGTAATATGATTTATTGTTTACGTTTATGTATTTGTTCACGTACCTGTATATAATCATTCTTTAAAAAAAAAGTTGCATTTATTATAGTTTTTCTTTAAGTTTTATTTTTAGAGATGGGAAGTAACGAAGTACAAATACTGTTACTGTACTTTAGTAGATTTTTCTGGTATCAGTACTTCACTCCACTATTTATTTTTCTGAAAACTTTTTACTTTTACTCCTTACATTTTTACACAAATATCTGTACTTTCTAATTCATATTTTTTTTAATTGGGGTCGTTACTTTCATTTTAATGTGTTTTAAGGCACAATCTATTTCATTTCTTGTCAATTTGAGCGTCTTTTTGATGCAGTCAATCTACTTTCGTCATTGACTGCATCAAAAAGATGCTCAAATTGACAAAAAATATAATAGATTGTGTGTGCTGCAGTGCGTGGCTTATGAAGATTACAATAAGAAAGGCAAGGATGAATATGCAGATGAGACAGAGGGAGTTATTAGACAGAGGAAGAATTTAACATGACTGATGCTCCCCTGTTTACACGCTAATAAGACACATTTTGCTAATAAGACACATTTTGCTCGTTCGGATCACAGGTAAACAAAAGAGACACATTCCAGTTCAAAAATATGCCATACAAATGCTTAAAAATGCCTTTTGTCCACTTCCGATCACACTGCAAGAGATTTCTCTGGTTTTACGAAAAATTATTTGTATTGATTTTTTTAATTGATTATGATTTTACATATAGGCATGATAAGCTTCAATTAATGTTTTAACAAAATTTTACAACAACAAAAGTAACTATACAGGAGACTTCATGAATAATTATATAATGCAAAAGATCCTGAATTTGTCACGTGAATTAAAGTTCATGCACATGTTTTGTAGGTTGTAGTCATGCAGCTTTGATGTATGTAGCATGTACAGTATGTAGCTTTGAGCATAGAAAAAAATGTATTAACAGAATTAATGTTTATCCATTTAATAAATTATCTAAAATACCCTGGAAAAAACACTAAAATAATGGGTTATGTATGAGAGCTGCTTATGCAAGAAAAATAGTTTGCAGTCAAATACAATAAGTATTTATTTTAGCAAAAGAAAATAAATTTTTAATAAATTTAATAAAATATTCAAATGTAAAATTGTTAAAAATTGTAATATTTTGGACAGTATTTGTATTGAGTGTAAAATGTAAGACATTATTTATTAAGAAATAGAGGCCTACAGAATAATTGTTCAGTGTATGAACATGAATGGCTGTTGTTTTTGATCCAACAGCACAAAACTACATGATAAAGGCTGTGAGTTTGCATCATGATGATGATACATGGGGAAAACAGATATTTACCTTCCTACTGTGACTAAAACATGTAGTAGTAATGGGTCATTTTTACTTAAGTACATTTTTGAGGCCGTACTTCTTTACTTTTATTTTAGTACAAAAAGTTGTCAGTACTTTTACCAGACTTTTACCAGAGTCATTTTAAACATGAGTATCTGTTCTTCTTCTTATAAGAGTAAAGAGTAAAGGATGTGTGTACTTTTGCCATCTCTCTTTTTTTATTGTTTAAGTTTTATATTTCTTCTGCAACTAGCGGAAATAAAAATAAGTTATCCTTTTTATATTTTTACAAGTTAGCCTTTTTACATTTTTATACATTTCCAGAAATCCATTTGAAACTGTCTTTAAAAAACAAACCAATGTATCCCAGTGTATGTATTGCAGTGTGGGGAGACTTTTGGTCTTATGTGATGATGTCTTGTAACACAATTTAAAATTACTCACCAGGTTTTCTTTATAATATTGTACTAGTGTCCATATAACCACTGTATACTCCTGGCTTTATATTTAGTAGGCCTACCAGTGATCATTTGTAATATGTGTGTTTGTATTATTTTGTCATGAACCAGAAGAAAACAATAAAAAAAAATTTAATTGAAAAAAGAAAACAAATTATCTATTAAATGATATTATATGTTGTTTTCTAATAAAAGTTTCCTGTTTTATATTATTATTTCACTGCTGATTGCACTTAAAGTACATCCTGTGACAAACCACCCAAAAAAATCTAGCTCTGAAATCAAAGCATTTCTCTAAATATAAAAATATTCTCTCTTTCAATAAATCCCACCATTCATAACGCCAAACAATTTACTTCAAGAGATATATTTTAAAACAGCCCTTACCAGTCACAGGGTTTATCATGAATCTGCCATCTTCGTTGCCAGATATGATGGAATATCTCACAGGCTCGTTTTCAGTGGCGTCTTTGGTGAGGGCAGACACACTGATCACCTCTGAGCCGACCTGGGATGATTCTGCTATCTGTACTGAATACTCGGAGCTGAGGAACAATGGCTGGTAATCACTCAGAATCACCACATGTACTGTAATCATGGCGAAGGAGAAGAGATGGCGAGGGAGGCCTCGGTCAGTGGCTTTTACTTTCATCTCATAAGTGGACTTGGTCTCATCAGCTAGAGATCGCTCCAATCTTAGAACGCCGGAGATTTCATCTAGAGAGAAGAAGCCACTGTCGGCACCTTGAAGAGAGTACCGCACCTCTGAGTTTATACCTGGAAAAGTTATATAAGACAATATTCTCAGTATTTGAGTGCAGGAATGACAGAACAGCAGATCAACAGATGGATAAAATGCAATCTGGAGTCTTGACATGATCATTTCAATCAAATAATCTATAGGATGAGAGAACTCTTTTTTTAAAGAATGTTTAAACATTTACATTCTCAAAATGACTGAGATCAAATCAAATCAAAGAGGGTGGAACTTCACAGATCACAGATAACAAACTGAACTGACACAACTGAATATGACACAACAAGAAAGAGTATCCAATTTTGTGCTTTCATCAAATTATGGAAGATTTTTCCCAGAGTTTAAAAAAACAAAAAGATGTTTATCTTAAACTTATAAGGGTCTTTATATAATATCAAAATTCTGATTTTTCTTCTCAGAATTGTGTGTTTGCAATTTCAGGTTATAAGCTGAAGGATATAAACGCATACATCTGCCAATTCTTCATTTTTCCACAGATTTTAGATTTCATATCTCACAGTTTCGATGAACTCTCCCTTTTGGGAAAACTGTTGCCTATCTAAGGTTCATTTATATAAATAAAATTGATTTATTTGTAAACAGAATTCTTGTAAGCAGAAATTTACGGTGGCCAAGAAAGCTTAACATGGCGCAATTTAAGAAAACACGTGCAATAACGAAAAAATGCTAGCAAATTAAGAACGCGGCGCATACACATCAAAAAAGCACACTGCATTTTTTCATAAAGCAAATAAATTAATAAAATGCATTGCCTTTTCTCACAATGTAAACAATTTACGAAAACACACTGCATTTTTTCACAGCGCAAACAATTGATGAAAACATGCTGCATTTTCTTCACAGCACAAACAATTTACAAGACGCCCTGCATTTTCTCACAAAACTTGCAAAAACATCAGAACACAACAGAAATGTTTCAAGTGGACCCAAAAAAACGTGACAAACACTGCTGTGCCGTGACTATTACTCGGTGAAGTAGTAGGTGATGTTTAAAAGGTGAGTTTTTTTATTTGTTTATTTTAATAATTTCGATTCCCTTGTCTTTAGTATTTATTAGCCTAAATAACCATAACCTATTGTACTGTAATGTGAGGTATATATTGTAACATATTATATATACCTCACATTTTAGGGTATTTTTGAAACATCTCTGTTGTGTTCCATGCTATTTGAAAGTGTTGTGAGAAAAGACAGTGCATTTAATTAATTTGTTTGTGTTGTAAGAAACTGCAGCGTGTTTTTAAAAAATGTCTTTGAGTTGTGAGGAATTGCAGCATGTGTGCTGTCAAACTGATGAAGATCTTTTCTTAATTTGCTGGTGTTTTTTGTAATTGCATGTGTTTTCTTAAACTGCAGTACATTGAGCTCTCTTGGCCACCGTAGAAATCTTCCTTTTCCCAATTTTCTTTAGGTTTAATATTAAACAAAGCAAATTAGCATGACAGTATTAAATTAATTTTCATAATGTCAAACACAAAGCATAAACCAGTGAAAGTTAGGTCCAAAGACACAAAGCCGATGACGATAACTAACATACAGGTGCATAAATAGGCATGTTTATTTGGGTGTTAGAAAATGTGGCAAATACTGGTACACTGATTATCGCAAACTTTAGTAATCATAGTAATTTACTGTACACACTCTCCTCCCTCCATCAGTGAGAGTAGATTTTTACCCAAAGAGAAGGTTTGCTGTGGCACTGTTTTCAAGACGTGGTTACAGTCTTGGGCCTTGATAGCAATATTAAGTCATAAAAATTATTTTAGTTCATTTAAATACACTAATGACTATTACACTTAGTAATGTTCACATTGTGAGATTAAAAAAAATTGTGTTCTTTGCACAATATGTTTTGAGACGACAATATCACTAAATCACTTGTTAAAGACATTAAATAAAGGTCAGAGTAGCTCAAATTCACACGAATCTCTGTAATGGCAACTGCATGTTCACACACATTTTCAGGTGTGGTCTGTCCCTCCCTAATCGTGTTTCTCTGTCACAGATTCAATCCCTCATACGATGCCGCATACCTTTAAATTTACAACCTTCCTGTTGCGGGTCAAGTAAAAAAATCTGGGGTGCTTTCAGTGCTTTTTAAGTGGATAAGCCATAAAGAGCCTTTGCCTTTTTTTGGCTTTGCGCAGCCATTCGTGAAGAGAAACATTGCCATACCTGTGTCTGGGTCTTTGGCATAGATGACAGCAATAGGCGTCCTAATGGTTGTGTTGTCAAACACTGTGACTTCATAATGGCTTGTGGAAAACTGTGGCGGGTTGTCATTCATATCTTGCACCATAAGTGTGACGTCTGCCTGGCAAGAGCGGCCACCGCCATCAGTCGCTTTAACAACTAGGTCATACTCTTTTTCTCGCTCCCGGTCCAGCACAGCGAGGGTGAATAGCTCTCCTAAAAGAGAGGAAGGAAAAAAAATACAAGGCATTATTAAAAATGACAATACCAGGGGAGGATTAGACAGTGTGTTGTAACATGTACGGTATCTGAGACGAGCCTTGACTAGTTATTTGTTTGATAACTGAGTGCAACGGCTTGCTGTCTCAGAGGTAGTGGCTTAATTTCATTAAAATGGCTGCAAAAACAAAGAAAGTTGCTGTTTCAGGAACTTCATACGACTGAGCTGGACACAATCCTTTGTTTTTCCAACTTTGCCCAAAGCATTTCATGCATAATGTTTCTCATAACCCAATATAACCGTTTTAAAAGATGTGACATTTAGATAGGATGCCCTGGAATAGAGCACCTTGCATATCATAAATCACACTCTCATTGTTTAGCAGGAATTCCAGGAGTTCTAAGAAAGAAAGTTGCCTCTTATCTTCTTTGTTGAAGGTTTAAACAGGGAAGGCTACTAGAGATGTTTTAAAGTTACCTGTTTTGGGGTCAAGATGGAACTTGTCTGCATTAGGTCCATGAAGAGTGAATGACACCTGACCATTTGTTCCAATGTCCGGATCTGAAGCAGAGATCTTCAGGATAACCTTGCCTGATGAAGAATTCTCCATGACTGCTTCAGTGTACTGCAACTGTAAAAAAAAGGGTAAAAGTTATTAAATAAATATTTTCCATGTGGGTCTAATTTACTAATCAAATAGTTTGCCACCAATCAACTTTCTGTTGTATTTTCTGAACAAGCAAAACACTTTTACAATTCCTACTGTAGCATGTGCTAGCATGAATGATTTTATATTTGAGGGTAATGTTTAGTGAATGAATTTTTTTTTAACAAATGCATTTCTTTCTTTTTTTTCCCAAACAGTCCTGGATACTATGCCATCATTTAGTTTTTCCTACATTTATTTGTTTTGTTTTGTTTTTTGTTTTGCTTGTTTATTCATTTCTGTGCAGAGGCCCCTAGTGAATAAGTGAATAAGTGCATACTTACTTGCTCACAGAAAGGACTGTTGTCATTGAGGTCAAGAACATGGACCTCCACATTGGCAGAGGTTTGAAACCTTCCATCCGTGGCTATTATTTTTAGAGTGTATTTGTCTTTGTCCTCTCTGTCAAGTGGACTTTTGGAAATCACCGTCCACTCCTCCCCTACCGCTGTGACTGAAAACTGGCCCAGCGGGTCTCCATCTTTAGGGATTGAAACACCAAAGGTATTTGCTTAAAACCAAAATACACAACTTTACCAATGCAAAATTGTTTATGCAACAGTCAAAGAAAAAATAAAATTTCAAAGCTGAACTATAAAACCAGACTGCACAGAGGAATAACAGAAGTCAGTTTCTTTAAAGGTCCCATAAAATAAAAATAACGTTAGATGTTAGAATTAGTATTGTTAGATTTTAGGATATCTATAAGCTAGTGCTCTCCAAAACAGTGACAACATTTGCGTTTAGAAGATATAAAACGGATACAACATGTACAGTTTGTCACTTCTGCCTAAATGGAGCAACATTTGTTTTCACTTCACCTCCTATTACAGTTTCACATCAAATCATAACCAATCAAATGCTTTATAGTATCCAACATGCCCTGCCCTCTTCATGAAGCTTCTTATTTCATTTAATGTGCTTGTGCTCAATCACTCTCACTGTCAGAATGGTGACAAAAACAAAATGCTATTGGCTGTTTTTTTAAAGTGGATGAGCTACACTATGTCCCACCCTCTCTTCATGTTTCAGATGAGATTATGTGAATCATTGAATAAAAAAAAAATGCATATTTCAAAGCACTTCACGGGACCTTTAACAATAAAACTGTATTAATGGTAGAAGAGTGAACCTACACTGGTCTCACGGTTCAGTTTGGTTATAATTATCATGCCATTGATTCGATTTCTCTGTGCATCACTGTGCATTGACGATGCTTTCCATACACAATTTTATATTGTACTTTACAGCACAAAAATTCTTGTATTAAAAATATGAATATATTTATATTTATATATTATTTGTAATACAATTTTGTCCTTTAATACAAACAGTCAGAACTGTACCTTTAAAAACTCAAATACACGCACAGAACAACATGAGCATTTAGAGCAAACAAATCCTGCTCGCTTTCTGAGCCTTGTCGAGTGAGCTCTTACACCCCTATGACTGGTCTAGCGCTCAACAGAAAAGGCTGCGATTGGCTCTAACGCTCTGGTTCTATTCACTGATGATAAACAATGATAAACGGCAGCGGCAATCACAGCTGACCCATGATAGACACAGAGGAGAAAACTTGTTCTACAGACAAGCATTTGTGTCTGGATTAACAAGTATCGCTGTAACAGCTGAGAGGAGAGCTGAGAGCAGCAGTTTATTCGCGTTTGCCTCCCTAGCCATAGTCAGCTACCCCAATATAGTGCATATGAGATAAATGACGTCAGTACGTAATGACCGGTTAGGATCTATTACTGAACCGATACCAAATTGTTTGTGTCTGCATCGTGATGCACCAAAAAAACATTTAATTTTGACACCACTAATAAATGGCCATTGGGCATAAATTGAAGTACATAATTTGTACATACCTGTTATGTAACATACAATCTGTCTATTTTCTGCAGACACGTCTTTATCAGCAGTTGTCAGAGTGACAATGTTCTCTCCAGGCCTGCTGTTTTCTAGGATGGACCCTTGGTAAAGCTCTTCTGTAAACTGTGGTGGGTTGTCATTTTCATCTGTAAGAGTCACCTCGACTAGAACCGAAGCCGACTGTTTGAGTGCGTCACCATGATCAGTGGCCACCACGAAAAATCTGTGAAGCTGTTTGGTCTCTGAATCAGCCTCCTTTAGGGTGGTAATCCAGCCAGTTTGCGAATCAATGGCAAACATATCACCAATGTCATCTGACTCCGGCTCAAGTGTATATGAAACTTCTCCATTGATGTTTGCATCTGCATCATTTGCAGTAACTTGAATGACTGTAGTACCAGAGGGCAAATTCTCAGCCAGGAAGGCCTTATATGTGTCAGCTTCAAACATAGGCTTATTGTCATTAACATCTTGAACCTCTATGTGAACAGACACAAGAGATGCTACATTGGTGCCATTGTGATTCCCTTGAGCGATTACATCAATCTTGTACATCTTGGTTTTTTCATGGTCGATATTGTTCTGCAAAACAACTGTGCCGCCATCTTTGTCAATAGCAAAAGAAAGTTCTTTGTTACTGTCTAAAGTGTTCCCATTGACCAAGCTGTAGATCAGTGGCATGTCAGCGTCTGCTTTGACCGTGCCTATTTCATATCCTATTGGGAGGTCCTCAGATGCTGAGAATGAGTACAATGGCTCTGTAAACCGGGGCAGTATGATCTCCGGTGGGACCACCTTGACTTGCACTGGCACAGAGGAGTTGTAAAAAGGAAAGCCTCCATCTCGTGCCTTGACTTTGAAGTTGAAAATTTTATTCTCCAAACCAACCAGACTCTCTTTGACACTGACTACTCCAGTAAAGGGGTTGACCTCGATAATGTCTTCTGTAACCTCGTCTGCTTCTTCTACTGTATAAGTGACATCAGCATTTTTACCTTCATCTGCATCATAAGCCATTATTTGTATCACTGGTGAGCCTTTGTTCACTGTAGATTGAATGGAAATATCATACTCAGAGGCTTTAAACTGAGGAACATTATCATTCTCATCTGTTAGAATAATCTTCACTGTGCAAAACCCCACTCTTCCTCCTCCATCCTTAGCCATGATCTTAATAGCAATTACTCTCTGTGATGGATTTTCTCTGTCTAAAGGTTGAGAAGTCACAATTTGTCCGTCTTCATTGATGGCAAACTTCTCATCGGCAAGCTTGTTAATGATGGTGTAGTCGACACTGCCGTATGGCCCATCGTCTGGGTCAATAGCAGCCAGTCTGATCACACGAGTTCCCACTTCTGCATTCTCTGCCAGATCTGCCTCGTAAATGTTCTGGGTAAAATAGGGGCTGTATTTGTTGCCATTTGTCATGTCAATGTTAACGGGGGCAGTCTTCTGAAACACACCGTCTGAAACTGCAACTGTGAGGTTATAAAATGGATCCAAGTTTCTCTTGCACACATTAGAGAATGAGATGAGTCCAGATGATTCATTAATAGCGAAATATCGGCCTTCATTGCCTGACAGAATCTTATATTGAAGGTCATCCTTACTATCGGGGTCTGATGCTTGAACTTTGATAACGATGTTGCCACAAGTGGCCATTTCATCAAGAGATGCCCGATAAGATGGCTCGCTAAAATCTGGAGGGTTGTCATTAACATCTATGACGTTCACAATAATGTGAGCCTCACCACTCAGCGGTGGTACCCCTTTATCTGTGGCTTTCACTTTTAAAGTAAACTGCTGTGTACTTTCATAGTCCAATACTTGTGTAGTCACCAAAACTCCACTTAGAGGGTCAATTTCGAAAAAATGACTCTCTTTGTCAATCAGTTGGTAAGTTGCCTCTGCATTCTTGTCTGCATCTCTGTCAACAGCTGAGACTTGTAAAACAGATGTGCCTATTGGAAGGCCCTCAAACACATCTGCAACATAAGAAAGATTCTGGAAGACTGGGGCATTGTCGTTTATATCTTCCACGTCAATCTCTACTTTGGCTTCAGCAAATGTACCAGACACGGAATCAGTGGCACGAACAGTCAAAATATGCTTTGTTTCACTCTCAAAGTCTAGGAAATCAGTGACACTTAAGACCCCAGTTTTGAAATCGATGTTAAATAACCTGGAGGCGTTGTCTTCCTCTAGATTGTAGATAAGGCGGTATCCTTCTGGATTTCTTGCCTGCACATGCAGGATTGTTGTAAAAGGAGTAATATTCTCAGGTAATTTCAACGGGTAGTACATGCTTTGAAATATTGGATGAGAACGATTTTGCACTTGGATATATATTGTTCCAATGGCTGACAGACTCGGCTGACCATCATCTGATACCAGTACAGTGAGAACATATTTATTCATAGACTCAAAGTCTAAGGGTCTTTGTAGTGATACATCTCCAAGATAAAGGTCGATTCTGAAGAGGCCGAAATCATCTTCTAGGGAAAAAATTATAGATCCATTCTCACCAAAATCATTGTCGGTTGCTAGCACTTGAAAGAGTACGTCCCCTGGTTCGGTTTCATCAGATATCAACAGTGTTTTGGGCAAATTCAATATTTCTGGTACATTGTCGTTTACATCATCTATATAGACCTTAACATGAGTGACATCCACACGTGGTGGACTCCTAAAGTCTCGGACCTCCACAGCGACATCATACACATCCTGCTCTTCACGGTCAAACGGAACACCAGTGGTGTGAAGGACTCCAGATGATGGAATCACTGCAAATTTCCCATGTGGGTTCAAGACAGTGAACTGCAAGGGCTCATTCAGGTAAGTACCTGTTGCTCTAAGGACAACTAAAATTTTCACAGAGGTAGAGTTCTCCAGAACAGTTGCTACATGTGCTCTGTCTTCAAATTTCAGACTAGATTTTGTTGCATTGGTGATATTCAATTTCACTACGGTAGTGTCTTTATATAACCCATCGAATGCAGTGATCTTTAGCTCGTTATGAGACTGTAATTCAGACGAATCATTTACTGAAATTACTCCAGTTGACTGATCTATTTTAAATGCATTTTTGTTACTATTCTCCAAAATCATGTAGGTCACTGCTGAATCGGCATCATGAGCTGTCACCTGGATTACTTTCATGTCTTGGAAAACTGGCCAAGTGAGGGCAATTTCATATACAGGTAAAACAAATTTGGGAGGACAATCATTAAAGTCCAAAACACGAATGATTACTTTGCAAGGCTTGGAAGCACTCAGTGATGGCTCACCAGAATCCCACACCTGAACACTGAAGAAAAATTCAGGTGTTGCCTCAAAGTCAATCAAAGATTTTAAGGAGATGGTTCCCATGCTCGGATCTATTTTAAACACTTCATGAGCTGCAGGCTCAAGAATTTGGTAGACCAGAAGAGCATTTGTGTCTTTGTCCGCATCTGATGCCTTGATAACTAAAGGCGTGTTGTTCTCCCCAGTCACCATGCTGTTTACAGGAGCAGACTCACTAATCTGCCCATAGTATACATCCTGATGGAAAACAGGAGCATTGTCATTGGCATCTATCACATAAACAAACACTACAGCATCAGATGAGATTCCTGCCGTATTTGTAGCACTTATTTGCAAATGGTAGCTGCTGTGCTGCTCAAAATCGAGTGCATTTTTGACTGACAGCAGTCCGGAGTTGATGTTGATGTGGAATGTCCCATTGGGGTCGCCTTCATTGATTCTGTACAGCACTGAGGATGGGCATCTGGCAGAGACAGATAGCACAGGGGATCCTGGAGGCATGGCCTCACTTATCTCAGTGATGTATTCTTTGGAGGAGAACCTGGGTGGTGTGAATTCAGACAGCTTTATAGTGATCGTAACAGGGCAAAGGGCACTACGCTGGGGAAAGCCCTGATCAGTGGCTTTTACGGTGAGGTGATAGTGCTCTTGCGGAAGTCTGTCTAATGCATCAGATACACGAATGCTTCCTGTCCCTTGGTCGATTTTAAAAGCACCATCCACATTCCCACCTGGACAAAAAAGAAAGATTGTTTACTCAAAGAGAATTTTGTGTTAAATGTCATAAGTGGATTAAATGTGATTATCATTTTTTAATTGCCACCCAAGAGTATTTACAAATGCCGCATTAAAATTAAGTTTTAAGGCAAGCCTTTCTTCATTTACATCTGTGCTTTCCATACACGCTAAAGACAAGTTAGTTAAAATGCAAAGGTAACAGTGCTCCAGGCAAAAGTCTTACCGGAGTGAAACGAATAAACAATATCTGCATTGCTCCCTGTATCCTTATCCAGGGCTTTAACTCTTAGCACTTCAGTGCCTGTAAGTGCTAGATTACTTATGATGCCCTCATAATGAGTATCCAGAAACGATGGGATGTGGTCATTGCAGTCCTCCACATGAACGACAACCTTCGCAAAGTTCTTTTTTATTGGGATCTTATCATCTCGTACCTGTGAAGATAAAGCACATGGGTCAACCTGTGTGGTACATGAGATAACATCTGAACACAAATGTTTTCTTTTGCCCTTTTAGAATTTTATCAAGGTCAAGACTTTTCAGGAATGTGGATTTATGGTATTGTGCTCTGACCCCTTCTGTCCCATTATGTGAGGGAGTCAAGATAAATAATCACATTCCAGTAGGACTAATGACTACGCATTTTCATGCCCAATTAATCAAAGAATCACATTTTGTGACTTGCGTGTAATTGCAACAGATTGCACTGGCTGTTGTTACATTTACATAAGACCTTGAGATGAGAGTCCAGTTCAGTCAAGTCAAGTGTCACTTTACCATCACAATCAGAGTATGAGTGGAGATGGTCTCGTAGTCAAGCTCCTCTTTTAAGACAAGCACGCCACTCCTTTGGTCCAGGTGAAAGTACTTGAGGCTTTCCGGATTGAGGCTGCTGTGGATGCTGTAAAAGAGTCCACTACTAGCATCTGCATCATGGGCACTGATGTGAAGGATCTCCTTCCACGGGGATGTGTCCTCTGGCACTCTGACCTCATAGAGACTCTTCAGGAACATGGGCCGATGCTCATTTATATCCACTACTTGAATGTAGGCCTAGAAAAAAAGACAAACCACCACTCTTTCAGCTGTTCATTGCCTTAAGTAGGACATATTAAAATGCTGACCTAATAACAATGGTAAATCTTTCATCTCGCATTAGGTTGCAGAGGTGCATTGCAATGAATTTATTGACTCTGCGATCAATGTGTGATGGATTGGGCATGTGTGTTCATACCTGAGTGGTTATAGTCTGAAATCCATCTGTGACTCTGACTGTTAAGTTGTAATGAGATTTTTTGCCTGCATTCAGACGTCTAGCTTTCACAATGCTGCCGGTGTTCTTTTCAATGTAGAAGTCCTGCTCTTCATCACCACCTAAAATACAACATTAGCTGTTGGTTAGAACAGTGGTTATCAACACAAGTCAGATAGTTGTTTTAATGTAACCACATGAGGAAATTAAAGAACCATTATAACAATATATAGCAGCCCACATACAACAATATATATATATATATATATATATATATATATATATATATATATATATATATATATATATATATATATATATATATATATATATATATTGTTGTATGTAGGCGGATATATACTGTTATTAAGGATATATATATATATATATATATATATATATATATATATATATATATATATATATATATATATATATATATATATGAATATATCCGCCCACATACAGCGACAAGTAGTAGACACTCTACAGTTTGACTAATATTGCTGCTGTTTTTGAATCACAGATATTATGCTAGGGAATCATTCAAATACTAACTCTGACGTTTGTGAACTGGCAACGGTTTCTGCTGTTCTGACGTCAGCTGCAGATGTTAATGAGTAGTGGAAGAAAGTAGTTCCTCGTACAAAAATGTTTTTGAGTCTCCGTGTTAGATTTTTAAATTTTTTTACACACAATTATGCTGTCAAACTGACGTAAAAACGCAATATCACATAAGTAGAAGTCCCACCAGTGCTGACATACAGCCTTATCACACTGCTACTCTTGTGATATTGCTCATTATATATGTGTATATATATATATATATATATATATATATATATATATGTGTATATATATATATATATATATATATATATATATATATATATATATATGTATATATATATAATTGTAGAGTAGTTAGTCTCTTTAGTTCTCATTAATGGACATGCTTTAAAATTATGTTCATGGTATTTTGACACATAGTCATTTGTCATTTTGTTAGCTGGTCAATTAAACATGATTCCTGTTTTGTTTTTTCCATTTAATATTACATTAAGTCATGCATTTCAAAATAACATAATTACTATAATCCATAACAATAATAGCTTACTAAAATGCTTGCTTGCTGTTTTTTTGTGTTTTGACTCTAAATTACATAGGTGTATACAGACAAGTGCTTTTAGTTAGTAATTTATGTAATCTTATAAATTCTGAAGCACTTCATTAAGATTACAAAACATGATTTAAGCCATACTGCGCATTTCTGATTGCTTAGATCAATATTAATCAGTATTTTAATTTAATATTACTAAGATTAAAACATTGAATTGTTAGATTTTCTTTTTCAATTAAACATTTGCTGTGCTATTCATATATAAAATAAAAACCTATGGGCAAGAATACACCTCCCATGTTTTACCATCAACACTTCAGGATGAAACTTTGTGAACCCATATGCATTAATTCAGGGCTGAGTGAGTAACATGAAGTGTTATGACAGTAAGATTCAGAACTATAATCCACGTACAATCCTCAACAATTTCCTTCTGCAGAATAAGTAGACAAGCAACACGCACGCACACACCAAAGCCTTAATGAAATGCACCACTACATCGCAAACTTTACATTTCTAACACCCACATGAGTCTTTGTTGTGATGCCCAGCCAGGTACAATAATGACAGAAAACAAGACCACATTACAAGGGCACTCCTGCCATGCCGTTCATAAATCAGCACTATTGTTTAAGGGAAAACATTTGGCACACGTATAAAAGACCAGACTTCTTACTCAGTGGGGGCAAATTCATGCCTGTTTTAACAGATGGTGTTTATTAAGAATTCCACCTATTGAAGGCTTTCTGATCCCTTTTTAATGTAGCTATATTCTCAAGTGACTCTTCATTATGTTTGTGTCCAAACTTTACAAAGCAAATGAGTTTATCATCTTCTTTTTCAAAGATCAACAAGTACTGGCCTTGATGTAGGCCTTGAGAAGCATTCGGAGAAAAAGCTGTCAGGAGATCTTTTAATCACCACATAATTGGCTTCTCAAGAGCTGAAAAAGTAGCTGCATTGAAAGATGTATTTTAATTATGTAAAATTGGGGTTACGGTTAAAGTTAAACCAACTTAGAGATTGTTTTATGATATATTTGAATTTCTAACCAACACTATATGATGATTATGCGCTTGTAATCGTATATTCCTTTAAATAAGAATATTATTTCCTATTTTGCCCTGCTGATTATGTGAAGCATTAATTTTATTAAAAATCATTAGCTACACTCTGTAATATCCCAAAAAATAATGATCAAATAATTAATGTTTCAATGAACAAATCAACTATGTACAGTTAATTGAGGCATGCAAGGTAATATTCCATAATTTTGTCACGGTATGTTGAACATGCAGATACAAAAAGGTAGGTCCAAGTGCATTTAATAAATTGCGCAGATAGCAGAAAAAGATTGGGACATCCAAAAATCTAAGTATCAAAAGAATAATAATAAACAAAACAAGAAACTGAGGCAAGATACGGGAACACAACACATGGAGAACCTACCACACAAAAACAAACAACTCGGTAACAATAAATGGGTGCAGAGTGTATAAATAGTCCAAACAATCAATAGTGACAGGATTCAGCTGCGTGTGTGATCAGTTTAAGTGAAACTCGGTGTATGTGTAGCGGAATGAAGGGATTTGTGGTTCATGACTGAATTGTAGTTCACCTGCGATCTCTGCAGTCCTCAATCGCTGGTGAACATGACAAATTTATGGATTATAAAATATTTGTGTATTTGTTTTTTCTTTGTTTGTTAAATAAACGAGTGTAGTTTAATTCTGAATATTTAATTTAGATTTTTTTAATTGTATAATTAAATACAATTAATACTAGTTGTCTGTCCTCATTAGAAATAAAGTAGTCTTTATTAGATAGAAATCTCCCAAAAGTATACTATATGGAATAATCCATTAAAGCAAGTGAAGGACATTAAAATGCATTTACGACCTAACACAAATAATGCATGACAGATTCCAAGTAATATGCAGCCTATCTGAAATTTATGACACAGAGTCTCATATCAAAGAATCTTTTTCATCGAACTGACCACAGTCTTCTGATTAAAATATAATGTGCTTGCATCTAACAAATCATGTTCAGTGGAATCACACTGAGATAACACGAGCTCTGCAGTCAACAGGTGAACTCTCTTCCATGTGATTCACTTTCACTCCCTACAAATGCTTGTGATTTATTTGCACTGAAGCTCATTTCTCTCGCAGTGAGTCTGCAGGGCTGAAGGTAAGAATGTGGGGATCAGAGTGAAGGTCAGGTTCAGCCTTTAACTGCGGGCGAATGTGTGCTGCTTGCACGGGCACAGAAAGAGACTGATGGCAGCTCCTCTGGTGCCCTGGCTTGTCATCTGAAGAAATGTGTCACTGCTAAGATCTGCCTCCTGGCACTGATTTTATCACAGAGAGGGAAGCTATAGCATCCCAGTGACAACAGACCCCCCTACATACTGTACTCTACTGTACCAAGTAAACACACCTTATTGTTTGAACTAAAATTTCAGATTTTTATAAAGAAAATATTGGTATCTGAACAACCAAGAAGTAAAACTTTTAATAATCAAAACATATTTTATTAGCCAAGATGTTCACTGAGAAAGTTGGCAGAGAAGAGCAAAAGCAGGAAACAAAGTAATGCTGATAGACACCAAAAAAAATTTATAGTTTCAAAATCAAACAAAAAGTGCTCTGGGGTAGCTCGAATAACGTGTCAGTGCTCTTTGAGCAAAAATCAGTCCAGGGCACTCGAAAGATGTGAAAAAACTATTTAAAGAGCCTTTATTCACATGGCTAATCTTTTCGACAGAAGCTGCCTTCATCAGGGTAACGATGAAGGGTTAGCCTAATTGAAGGCAGCTCTCTGCCAAAACGGGTAGGTTTTTTTTTAAGATTAGCCATGTGAATAAAGACTTTTTAATAATATTAGTTTGTTTGAATTCTCAGATTTAACTGACAAGCACAAATCCAGCAAATGATATTATACTAAAAATCTGATATTTCATTAAAGAAAACCAAAATAATCTATATGAATTATGCCCTTTAACAGACAAACAGACAAACTGATTTAATTTAAACTTTTGTTCACATATTGTATACATATATCAGTGAATTGTAAACATAAGCATGATTCATTAAAAGCAACCTCACTGGCTGTTTCGGACGCACAAGTGTGCCACGTGACACTCATGAACGAACCTCATTGGTTCTCGCTCATCAACAAGACTAGCTTTAATGACCTTCTAAATCTGAATGTGGTAAACATTGTTCACCAATCAATGTTCATATGTGAACAAAATAATTAAATTATATTATAAATATTATTTAAATGATCTCTTAATGGATGTTTGAAGTGCCAGTGTTCAAGATAAATATTTGGTGCCCTCATATATATATATATATAATGTACTTTATGTGTTCATAGTGTACTGCAGAACACTTCTGGTGCTTTTGAGGTGGGAGGATCGGGTAGGATTAGGGACAGGTTTGGTTGTATGGGTAGATTTAACGGTGGGTCAAGATGTAAGGGATGGTCAGCAATGTAGTTACAGAAATGACTTACTGACTCAATCATGAGTACAATGTAAAAACATGTATTTACAGGTTACATGTTAGCACTTTGTAACAAATTATTCACTTCAGTCTAAGTACATATTAGTTAAAACAACCTGATATAAAGTGGCACCAATCTCTAAAATTACAAAATAATACAATGGTGTTCTGAAATGCAACAAATGTTGTATGGTTTTAGAACAACATTACTGACTAAAAAGTGAAAGAATTTTCATTTTGGGGTCAACTAGCCTCAATAAAACTTGTTACATTTATGCTTAAAAATTTACTATTGCCCTTATTCTTCAATGCGGAGGTGCGCTTGTTTTTGCGCTTGTTTTAAAACTTCCGATTCAGTGGCCTATGGGAGAAATGACTAGGAATATAAACAGCAGAAAACAGTCAAACTACTTGCTCTACAACCAAGTGTTCGCATTAATATACAGACAAAGCAGAATCATTTAGTAAGACAAATATCAGTTTGCAACATCAAGCAGCAAAACAAGCTGTTTAAATATCTAAAAATGAATGGAAGTGAATGAGACCGGAAGTCTCGAGCCAAAATGATTCAAATGGCTGTGACCGCTTGTCCACAGAGAATAAGGTGGATGAAGAGCTATTGTAAATAAAAGAGCCTTTCTTACCTATAATGTCAAACAAGAGTAGGTTTTTCGGGATCTCTGTACGGATTATTCCCACCATGTCAGTGACAGGATCTGTCTCCATCACCACATAGTTGAAGGGGGGCTCATCAAATGCCAGGACGTCCGAGCTGGGCTCAGGCTGAGGCAGCCATTCAACATGCAGACGTGATTTGGACATTCGGGGAGGATTCCCTTGGTCTGTTGCTTGAATCTATGAAAATAAAACAGAAAACAGGTCAACATTGTGAACCTTTTAACCTTTTTTGTCACTGATCACTACATTTATTGGATATAACATCCTGTGTTTGTTGGCGTAAACTGTGCTTACACATTATGTCATTATGTATTATCCCCATTTTATGCAAGTCAAAAGGTGATTGGGAGTTAATGATGAGTTTTACTCATAATTCATTTTACTCTGAGCAATATTAATTAGCAGCATGCAGTTATTACAGTGCTGGGGTTTGGTTTAGGGTTATCACATGTAAGTATGCACAATTTACTGTTACTAAGTACATAATTACTATACTAAGTACATGTAACATTACTATCAAATAAAGTGCTGACAATTGCTTATAACTACTTTAGTTTAACAATGTATATTATTTGTTGAAGTGTTTAACCATTTTTTGTTTAAAATAGTTAATACAAATACAACTGTTAATTCTTCATTAAAGTCTGCTCACTTCCATTACATAAAACACAGATACAGCTTTTGGTTTTAGTGATGTAAGTACAAGTAAATGATAGTATTAGTAAATAAACGTAAGTAAATGCTAACATTTGTAAACAGACATTAGCCATTAGAGTCATCACTTATCCATAGTGAATATAATACTACAATCAAACAAATATTTAGCTGTTTGATCAAACTGCTTTTGTAAAATTAGCTTAAACATGAGATTTTGGGGAATAGTTTCATTATTTTCTGTTCAATCCACTGAAATTTAATAAGTTAACTTATTTGTTTTGTGTTGGGACAACCTAAATGAACTGTGTGTGGAGCACTTCTGCATCAAGCGCACGCGTATGTTTCTGCACAGCCTTCGCGCGGTCCCACCTCTCAAAAAAATGACGCGTAGGGCAAGCCCTGTGATTGGTTAGCTTGTTAGTGGTGAGCGTGGGCGGTGCTGAGAGCCGCAATCCCGATGAAGCCCCAAGTGGTGCATGAAGCAGCGATTGTTTACAAGTGTCGAGTGCCGTGAAGGAGCTCCAGATGGAACCTTTTGTTTTGTGTTTAACTATGTGTTTACCTTATGATTAAAGTCGTTGCACGTCCACCAGTTCCCGCCTCTGAATGAGTGAGTTTGAGCCATGGTTTAAGATACTTATAGCGTTCAGAAAAAACAAAACAGCCGCGGGCCGCAAAGAAACTTCACACAGAGGAGCATACAAACCTACTGCCATCTAGCGTTTCGGAGGTATTATTGCAGAGCAACACAACAGGCAGAAGAAACCACTGTTGCCAGATTGGGCGGTTTTGAATTTGATTGTGCGGGTAAAAAAATGTGACTATGACTTTTGACTTGATGTTGAAAAGTTTAACAAAGTTACTTTCTTGATGCTTTATTTTTATTGATAATATATTTAAGCAATATATTGTCTGGTTATGTTTAATCATGTGAATTACACTGCAAAAAATAACAGTCTAACAGTCTGTTAACTTTTTTTCTGTTATTTTACAGATTATATTATTCTTATCAATGTATTGTTTCCAAATACTGTTAATCTGTAGCATAAATTTGAAAATGATTTACTATAAACAACTGTAATTAACATACTTTGTATTTTTATGGTGTGATGTTAACAAATTCAATCTTACGGTAAAGTGTTACCAACTGACTTTGAGTTTACAGTCCTAATGTGTATGCATACCGTCAGAATACTGTAGTTCCCCCGAACAAACTGTCCTCTCGCTGTCACCACCCCAGTGTCTGGATGGATATCAAACCGGCCTTCATTGTTGTCTTCTAGACTGTACGTGATCATGCCATTGGGCCCCACATCATCATCACGGGCCACCATCCTGTAGATGTCCTGAGGCTCAGCCGTGCTCTGCCGTTCAGGGAGTTTTATTTGGAAAAGCTTGTGACTGAACTGAGGGCTGTTATCATTCTCGTCCAGGACTTCAATGACCACGGTGGCAGTGGAGCTCAAAGGAGGTTCCCCTTTATCTGACACCATGACCTAAACAACCGCAGGTGAGGGAAGCATCATGAATATTTTGTGCACCAAAATATATCTTTTGCAGAGCATTTAAATATTTGCTGCATATATTAAATGTTTCATCAAAGTTTTAATGCTTCTTTCAAATATGAAAGGTACTTTTAGTTATTCAAGTGTAATAAAAAATCCCATAAAAAAATTAAAAGATGTAAAAAAAATAAATATATTACCGAATGGCAAAGCCTTTATATTGCAGTCCTGGGAATATAGTGTTGTAATTCACTATATCCATTATCGCACTACATTCATTTTACTTTCCCTTTATTTTGCTAACAGGCAACACATTTAAAGAGCTCTATGTCAATTTTTTAACATTAAAAATGTTTCAAAAGTTTGCCAATATATATATATATATATATTAAGTTTGTAAAATTACGGAATAAAGAACTGACAGTTTATTAACATGTTTTTGTACCATAATTTACTAGACCCACAAAGAAAATATATAAATTCAAACTATTAAAAATGTCAGTGATCATCTTTTTTTTTTTACTTTTTCACATCAAAAGTTGTTTTTCAAAAGCTGTTGGAAGAAAGATCAAGTTTCCTTAACGCAATTCAAAAGCATAAAAAATGGGGTAAAAAAAAAACAAATCAAAATATTGAAACATAATTTACTGATCAACTAGATGTTGAAAATACAATAATTTCTATAAATATTATATTACAATACGTGCTTTTTCTTGTTTCACGTCATCTTTGTTCATCGTTGTAAAAGTTATGAGTAATTATGAAAAACTGTAAATTGTTGGATGTTAGCTTGAAACAATTTATATACAACATTTAGGCCACATTGTGCATCTGGTATGCAATTTTTAGTTTGTACAACATCAGAGAGAGTAAAAACAATTGTAATACACTTCAATACAGCGGAAAAAATAAAGTAACAACACATTCTCAACCCTGGGGTTCATGATCTAGTAAACAGAAGGGAGCAAATGAACCAACCTCAATGATATGCTCGGCTTTTTGTTCCCGGTCCAGAGAGGAGAGAGTGCTGATCACACCTAAACAAACATACAGAGGAAGAGCAGACAGACTGATCAATGCCACCTGCCTCAGATGGATGACACACCTGTTCATTCACCCCAGGCTGCTCATTTTACTTTCTCTTCCCACAGGTTTGTTTTTCAACTTTTATTTGTTTTGTTCCACTGTTTATACTAGGTCACCCTGTGGTATACAATTCGTGGGAACAACGGTTATTATTCAAGTCCGCATCAGTGAGGATTTGATGTGTGCTACAAGACCAAAGTTCCCAGTTGCCAAGAAACTGGCAGAAAATGAGCCATGGCTTAAGAGCCACTGCAGTCAAGATGTGTAAACGGCAATGTTGTGAATTAGGATAAGAGGTTCTCTGACACCTTTTTACAAGTGAGTGTTAGAGGCTTGGTTAAGTGTGCTCTGACTCAACAGCTGATTTCAGGCTCAGAGCAAACAAAATGCACTAGTGACAGCGGTTTACCGCCACTGCAATAAACACTTAAGTGTCATTTCTGCGAAAGAGGACTGGCAGGGATCCACGGTGTCTATCAACCTGTGTAGCACTCAAAACAAACCCTGCTGGGCTTTTATGACGGCCTGCATTTAGGCAGACTATCCTAAATATATGGTTTTGGCATTAATAACCACCTGTGGAAAGACGACCCTATCGTGCATGGGACAATGGGTAAACGTGTGGATTTAAACACGTCTTTAGTGCCTTAAGCATTCAAAATAATACAGTTTTGTCTCTTTTCTCATGTCTTAATCCCCCTTGTACATTGGCTTTTGATAATGTAAACTCTGTTCCCTACGCACCCAAGAATTATTTGTCTTACCTACTCACTCTGTAAAAAAATTGATCATATCCCATAAATGCTACGGTTTTGTGGTGCTAAGCTGTTAAGGCAGTTAGCTTAGTCACAGTGTTCATGCTTGTGATTAGTCATCTTTGGCTGTCCTGTCCTGACATGGAGTGCCAAAAAAAAAATGTAGTCGCTTTAGCCTTGAGGGAAGAAGGTTATGCCGCATTGAAGTGAGATTTGTTGCTGTCTCTGCAGCTGATTTGGCTCTTGAGATGCAGCATTGATTGTATTACACTTTCATAATCATTTAGCATTCTCCTTGATCCTCATGGTCTATACAGTATTCGCACGCAGTATTAATAGAGAGCTGGGTACACACTAGTTCATTTTTGCCTCAAGCATCCAATCAAATCTGTTAGCATTTAAAGCACATACGTGAAAGCACATCAAATTTTTTTGGACCAGTCTGAAACATCATTTTTCAGCGATAGATGCTTCATATAATACAAACCAAGCCTTTGACTTCTTTGTAATCCTCGTATATTAGTTCAGGGTGGGGTAGTTTGAAACAACAAAGAGACGAGACTTGGTTAAGACATGTGCAAGCTTGCAACGCTGGTTAATGCGGTTCTAATTTTCATAGCTACTGTTCAAAGGCTAGGTTCAGCTGCTACAAAAAAAAGGGTCAGAGGTGTTTGTGTGGCTTTGTGGGCCTGCTAAACAACTATCCTCACCCATGACACAAAATGACACACACTGATCACAGTATTCACAATAATTAGAGGGCCTATTCATTGTGCCCTTCGCTGCTTCATAAAAAAATGTGTGCCTAGACATGTTCAATCAATCCATCAAAGATTGCATTATAGTGTGACATGAATCACCAGCTTGTGCTGTTTCATGATTCACATACTTTCTGGTGGACTGTTTGAAGTATAAAGCTTACCTGTTTTTGAATCGATGGTGAAATATATGCGCTGAGAATCAAGGATCTGGAAAGCAAGCTTCCCTTCAGAGGACTTGTCCATGTCTGTGGCAGAAACTTTCAGCACAGATTTATCTTTTGGCAAATTCTCTTGCACTGAGCCAAAGTAGACAGGCTGGGACAGCTCAGGGGGATTGTCATTAATATCCCAAACTTCAATGTAGACCTCAGTCCAGGATACCAATGGTATAGTGCCCAGATCTTTTGCATAAACTGTCAGCCAATAGTGTGGCACAACCTCGCGATCCAGAAGGCCTGCAGTCTGAATAACACCTGTAAAATGTAGTTTTCCAGAATTACTCTGTGACAACAGAAGCATTATAGTGGACTGAAACATTAACCAATAAACCAACCCTTGTATGTTAACAGGCATAAATCTAAAATCGTCACATAAACCAATTTCCACAAGAACTGTGAAACTCAACCCAATAATTATGTACTTAAGAAAAGAGTAATGCATGTAATGTGGCAGGTGGTGTTGAAGTAATAGCTTTTCAAATTCTTACAATCTTTCAGAAAAAGCCATTTATCGCTTTGTCTTTACATGTGTTAGTTATGCCAATAAACTTTCTGGAAATGTCTATACATGCAGTCTTGACCCAATGTGCTAAAGGCAACTGTAAAATAGAAGGTCAGTAATATCCATGATGTATTTTCCTGTCAAAGTAAAGTGTGCAAAGTGTATTTTAAATAATGTATTCACTCGCATACCTGTTTCTTCATCAACCGTGAAGACGCCGAGCCCTGAGCCATCATGGATGTAGTATCTGACAACTCCATCTCGTCCCAGGTCGTTATCTACAGCAGTTAGTGTTAAGACTGAGGTTCCTATTTTAGCATCCTCCATAACGGCTGCTGTATGCACCATTTCACCAAAGAGAGGCCGGTTCAGGTTTTCATTGACATCTAATACTTCAATCTCAATAAAACACGAAGATGATAAAGACCGGGGCTTTCCATGGTCAACAGCTCGAACTGTTAAATTATAAAACTGCCGCTTTTCGAAGTCTAATTCCCGCTCCAAAGTCAAAGAACCTGTGGATGTATCAAGAAAAAACGTTCCTGATTCGCTGTTTTTCAGGTTGTAGCTTATGACACCGCCGCTCTCCAGATCTAAATCAAAACTTTCAACCCATAGCAGCACTGTGCCTGGAGGAACATCCTCAGGAACTTTGATCTTGTAGACTGTGGGTACAAACTTTGGAGGATTGTCATTGATGTCCTCCAGAACAACAACCACATCTGTAAATGAGAAAAGTTGTGGATCCGGTTTGGCCTGATCTCTGGCCTCAATTGTTAGGTCATATCTCCTGAAGGTTTCCCTATCCAAAGGCCCGATTACCTTCACCACCCCTGTGTCTTCCTCTATCTGAAACAAATCTGTGAAGGTAAACAGCGAATATTTAAATGCTCCATTGTTATCCAAGTCGAAGTCGACTGCATTGACTTTGAAGATGCTTTTGTCAACCTCTGTGTTTTCTGGGATGGTTACAACATATCTTGACTGAGAAAATAATGGAGGATTATCATTTGCATCAAGAATATTAACAGCAAGAAGTTTCCATGTAGAGGTTTGCGGATATCCCAAGTCATAGACTGTTATGTTGAGAATGTAAAACTCTTTCTGCTCTCTGTCCAAAGCGCAAATAACCTTCAGATCCCCTGCGTTCACATCGATAGTAAAGCATCCGTCCTCATTTCCACTTGAAATTGAATAGACAAGCTTTCCGTTAAATCCAGAGTCATTATCAGTGGCATTAAACTGCAACACAGATCTATTGAGAGCAAAGTCTTCCCTGATGTCAATTGAGCCTGGCGTGCTAATGACAAATTTCGGTGAGTGCTGGTTAATTATATGAACATCTGAGATGGACTCCTCTTCTTTTATGTTAAGAGATGGCCTAAAGGACTCAATAAGCTTTTCTGTCAACTGCCTAGTAATTCCGGTCTCCTCGCAATGTGTGATGGCACCTTCGCCATTGTCTGTGATGCTCACAGTCACAGTGTTGGGGTCTGCAATATATGTGCCATCTGTTGCTGTTATTTTAAGTGTATATAAAGAATTTTCTGTGTCTTTGTAGTTTGATGGAATGGCCTTAGCCAGTTTGATGATGCCAGAAACAGGGTCAATTGAAAACAGTCCATCATCATTTCCAGACTCTATCCTGTATACGATCTGCTGCAGCTCATCCAAATCAAGTGCTGATATTTCTGCAATAATTTCCCCCACAGCAAAGTCTCGGGGTATGGAGGCATTGCACGCTACCCGCTCAAACACTGGAACATTGTCGTTGACGTTGGTCATGGTGATAGTTACAGTGCATTCACTCACCCTGTTAAAAGGGTTGCCACTATCAGAGGCCCAGATTCGTAGATGGTACCATCTTTTCATGAGCTCATAATCAAACTCCTGAGAGGTAGAAATAACGCCGGTCAGTGGGTCTATGCTGAAAGGAACAGGACCTGTGTTTGCTATAGCGTAGGTCACAAAACCATTGTTATCTTTGTCCACATCAATAGCAGAGACAGATAAGACACTTGTTCCGATTCGCACATTTTCAGGCAGAGAAGCCTGGTATGAGGGTAAAGTGAAACTAGGGGCATTATCATTTTCATCAGTTATATCCACAATGACACGAGTAACTGCTTCCCCATCATTTGCTGTGACATCAAACTCATAATGATTTCGGTTTTCAAAGTCAAGAGACTGAGAAGTCACAATTACACCAGTTTTGGCACTGATTTTGAACTTATAGCTATCTGGGTTTTCTTGAATGCTGAATGTCGTGTTTTTTAAACTCAACCCAACAGAAACTCTAACCACATGAGTTTTTGGTGGAGAAAATTCACTGAGAGTTACATAGTAAAGTTCTTGTTCAAACCTCAAGGGTTTTATTTGAAGAGGAGGTGGAATGTGCACAGTTTTTATTGGAGTTAGCAAAGGAGGGTTGCTTCTGTCTTTGGCCTGAAGAGAAATGTTTAGTCCTAATGGGTTCTGTGACCAGTCAATAAATTTTGTTGAGACCAGCTGAAAGCCACCATCATAAAAGGCTGAGGGAATAATCTGAAAGCAATTCAATGGATCTCCTTTAACTATACTTAAAGATGCTGTGTTTTCCTTCTCTTTAGGTTCCATCTTGATGTTTACACTTATTTTGTCATCGATCGTTAGCAGACTCTCTGCAGTGGTTGGTGAAATAAGGGTGAAATTCTTTTCTACTTTTTGGATCTTCACAACAACCGTTGCTACATTTCCAAATTTCTGCACACCAGAGATTTTCTTTTTCCTGTCCTCTGCCAGCACTGTCAGGTCATACCTATCTCTCTGACTGGTGTCAAGTCTCTTGACAAGTGTAACAGTCCCCGTGAAAGGATCAACAGCAAACGGGTGTGATCTAGTGGTGAATGAGTAATAAAATTCAGCATTGCTGCCAATATCAGCATCCGTTGCACTCACTCTCACCAGGCTCGACTTGATTGGTGTGTCCTCCTTAATTACCACATGATAAGAGGCAGGGTAGAAGAGCGGTTTCAGATCATTTGTGTCAAGCACTTGGATCAATACCTTTGTTCTAGCTCGGTTGTCAAAAGTGCTTTCTGTAGCCTCAACAGTGAGGGTGTAAATGTCTCTGACCTCTCGGTTGAGCACAGCTGAGTTACTGCTTCGGGTTATGATTCTCAGAAAGGAGAAATCTCCTACATCTTCTTTCTCGGTCTGGAAAAGGCCATCATCATCACCAGAGACAATCTTGTACTTGATGTTCCAGAAGGGATCAGTCAGTAATATGCCCATCCGGACTGAACTCTCCACGTAGGTCTTAGGGGCAGAGTTCTCATAAATGCTGGCATTATACAAATGATGGGTGAACCTCAGCAAAGAGCTGTCCTTTACCAGGCTCCCATGACATCTGGTTAGTGTTCCTAGGACTGCTATGACAGTGAGAATTATGGCTGTGTCTGTGAAAGACATTCTCACTGCCTCAACATGGACCCGCAGACCTGAGGAGAGTGAAACAAATGTTTAAACTTCTTTATTGTCTGACAAATAGACCACACAGTGTCAAGACTTGGCCTTATAATGAGCTGATATTTTAGAGTAATATAACCACATACTGAAACATAAAAGGACAAAACACACACACACACACACACTCATCTTATTGTCTGTTTCACCTAATAAAAGATCATAGTCGGGTATTTTTTTGTCCTGTTTTGACATGCCTTGACATGAAACTTGACATTGTTTAACCGTGAGAACAGAACTAAAATTTTTTAAATCAGGTGAGACATTTTTCATTTTCAGATGATTTTGCCATGCAGTCATCTTTAACTAAAAGTAATTTACAATTTGAATATGAAAATGGGACTTGACAAACTATTCAAGAAAGGTTGAAAATGATCTCTCTCTCTGATCTCTCTATCCATATTTTCTCAGGCTACAGCATATTTTTAGCAATATACCACATCACTATCCACCCAGATATTTCATATAGGCCTACTACCAAATTTAAAGTACATTCTTTCTTCAAAATTAAAACTCCAACCTACCCAGCAGGCACAGGACGTCAGTATAAAGTCAGATTGACATTAGCCATGTTTCCATCTAAAAATGTGAATTAACTTTATTCACAAAACTGGATTATCGCATAAAAGATGTGCCAATAAAGCAGCGTTTCCATCCAATGAGTCAAAGCGAACAAAATCGTCACTTTCTGATAAACTGCTGCCAAATATCAACAGTAAAAACGGAGTTTGCTGCGGTAGGAGAAGCTGCATCAATCTCAAGGTCTTTAGTAATATAATAACACTAATACTGAAACGGTTGAGGCTTTTTAAAATAACCAAAACAACACATCAGATGTTTTACAATGTGCTCAGCCTGCTGGTTTGTCCATTCACACAGATTTTTATCATCACATGATCTCTTATAACAAAATCACATAAAATTTATTTTAAAGCACATACTGGAATTTGTTCTGTAAAAGTGTTTCCATCACAGTTTATGCGCATCTTTTCTTATTGAATAAAAAGTTTATCCTACTAATTTATGCGCACATGTTTAATGCACATTTTCAAAATATCCAAAATGCGCATAAAAGTAGGTGGCTGGAAACATAGCTAGTGGGATGTTGCATTTTGTTAGGAAATAAAAATCAGGTGGATGTACAAGCCCCATATCTGGCCGAAATCAAAGTCCAACATTGGACAGAGGTTGCATTTTGGTCACTTTCCAACGCAACCTAAAATCAACCAAATACCAACATCTAATGATGTTACAGTTTGATATTGTGTGGACGTTACCAATATGACGTCTATCAAATGTTGCATTTTAGTTGCCATACCTGACGAATAAATGTCAGTATTGGACGTTAATATGACGTAGATATAAGACAATAACTCGACGTTGGATTTTGGTCACTTTCCAACACAACCTAAAATCAACCATATAACAACATCATTTGACGTTGTTATTGGATGTGAAAATAACATTGTCCTTTGGCACTGATGATCTAAACCTAACCTACTATTGACGTTTTATGATAAACCTAACCTACTATTGACGTCTTATGTGTTTGCTTGGTAGTTTCTGATGTACTAAGTTTTTATTTCAGATACTGCTATAAGCTATAAATAATAGCATTAACTTACAGGGTGAGACAGTTCACCTAAAACTGACAATTCTGTCATCATTTACTCACCCTTCACTTATCACAAACCTGCTTGAGTTTAATTTCTCTGTTGAACCCAAAATAGTAATTTTGAAAGATGTTGTAAACCTGTAAAAATTAATTTCAATACTATTTGTTTGTCCTACTTGATATCAAAATATTATTTTGTGTATAGCAGAAAAAGCCGCACTTGTGGCTGAAGAAATAAAGACTATATTTGCAATTTTTGGATGAACTATTCCTTTAAAGTATATTTTAAAAGTACACTTTACTTAAAATATGGCAACACGGTGGAGCAGTGAGTATCGGTCGCCTCACAGCAAGAAGGTCGCTGGTTTGAGCCCTGTGGGTTTCCTCTGGGTGCCCCGGTTTCCCCACAGTCCAAAGACATTTGAACAAACTAAATTGGCCGTAGTTTATTTGTGTGAATGCAAGAGTGTATGGGTGTTTCCCAGTGCTGGGTTGCGGCTGGAAGGGCCTCTGCTGCGTAATAACATATGCTGGATAAGTTGGTTCATTCTGCTTTGGCGACCCCTGATACATAAAAGGGCTAGGCCGAAATTTTTTTTATAAATGAATAACCTTTACTTAAAAAGAGTGAATTTCATATCTAATTTAACAAACTACACAAGCGTGGGGCAGTTAATTAAAAAGGAGACATCCAAAAAGCAAGCTGAACAAGTCTAAGCATATTTAAAGTATAATTCTTTGTCAGTCTCTTTATATTTATGTACATGTGTGATAACAGTTCTAACCGCCATAAATCTTTGTATAGGGGTGGGGGGTGTAGAGCAATATTTCCTGGAACTCAAGTTAAGCACGCATAGAGGCACGAACAGGGAATTAATCGGTGCTACACAAGGTTGGCCTAAAACTTGAAAGAGTTTCCACGTAAGTAAGTTTCAGCAACAACAACTTTTTTAACCCTTTTGAGATCTCTTAAAATCCATCAGGTAAAAGTTGTGAAATCCCTCAGGGTGAGTCTGTTAGTAGTAGGATGTGCCGTGTGCTGCCCTCCAGCCTACACTCTCACAGCTACCTGCCGCCACACGCTCAGCCAGGCAGCACACACTCAGATCATATTTCACTATCAGTTCTCACTTTGCCAGTTTTGCTAGATTTAATGACATTTAAAGACACTGTGAACAGTTAAGCTTGCTAGCACTCTTGTAATAATACTGTGTAAATCAAATTGTAAGTCAAAGTGTAGTTTGTCAAATTGTAGTCACAAAAAAATATTTTTAAAAAGTCACATCAAAGCAAACTCTAGAATGTGTTTAAAACAAATATTGTAAACCACAAGTAAGCCAATAAAATGCACCTTTTGTATCTACTGTTGTACTGCAATTTTTCATTTCCTTTTTAACTAACTAATTATGACTTTCTCCAGCACGTGTTTCATACTTTGTAGTACATTAGTTACTGTAGGATTACACTAGCTCTTGCTGTTGGTTTATTGTTTGCAAAAGTTGTGGCCAGAGCCAAGCATCAACATGCCCACAGATGCGTCATTTTCAACAGAACAGCTAGTTCAGTTGTGCAGAGGCATTACGGATGACGTTGAATAAGACTTCCTTCCAAGTTTTTTTTTCTTTCTTTTTTTTTGAACATGTACCTACTAATGAAGACAAATCCAGTAGCTAAGTGAACTAATGAGGGCATATATATACATATTAGAAGCTTAAATTCTTTCTATTATTCTATATTTTCTTTCTAATATGCATATTTAGTAAAAACATAAATCTTGACTGCATTTTAGGAGCATTCAGAAGGTCCCCTATCTGTCTATGGACATGAGGACCTCATATAAATTCCCTCACGTACACACCTAGTGCCACAGGGAGGCAATTATCTAAATTGCTAGAAGGGCTTCAGAGAATGGACAGTTTAGACAAATAGCCTAATCTTAGTTTACTTTGCCCTGGACATTTAAGGTGACCACCTTTTGGTGTCTACCTTCATGTTTCACCACCTTCTAGTCGAGTGTAGTCACTCAAAATGGGTTCATTTTAATATATAATCTGTATGAATGTGTTTAGGAAGAACTAGCATTTTATTTTGACCCACATTACTTCGGCCCCAGTTGTATTGTGTTCATAAGATTAGATCCTGTTCATATTACACATGCGAGTCGAAGAGTTGAACTAATGATAACAAGACAATATTGGCTTGTCGGTTATAAACTAAACTTTATTTTCATAAACTTTCAGACAACTTGTTCACTGTAAGTATTGTTGTAGCTCACTTTATAGTATCAAGTTTGGTTAGAGTTTGGGTTAGCAGAACAAACTGACATTTACAATATAGTCACTAGTTAAAGTATTGTCTATGTTGTCTAACTGACATACAGTTGTTACACATTAGTAATTAGAATACTACCGAAGTGAATTCAATTCAATTCAGCTTTATTTGTATAGCGCTTTTACAATGTAGATTGTGTCAAAGCAGCTTCACATAAATGGTCATAGTAACTGGAACAGTGTAGTTCAGTTTTTAGTGTTTAAGTTCAGTTCAGTTTAGCTCAGTTCAGTGTGATTTAAAATCATTACTAAGAGTTCAAACACTGAAGAGCAAATTCATCGATGCGTAGCTCTACCAATCCTGAACCATGCGAATATTACCAAACTTTTGAATGAAAAACCACACTTTGGTGGAACAGTTTGACATGCTAAACATGTTTTATGAAAACTTGATAAAACTTGGTACCTGACTACTTTGCCTGTTTATCTCTTTAAATCTGCTTTGACACAATCTGTACTGTATAAAGAGCAACTGAAATAAATGTGACTTGATTTGAACGTCTGTTAGAGATCATAAAAATAAAGTGTTCGCACATATTAGGCAAACAGTCCTAATTCTAATGACTGCTGGTTGGCATGTATTTGCAAAAGTCAACAGTAAAATGGCACAATCAAAATAAAGTGTAACCCCACAATATTTAAAACTAGGAATTTTCAATTCATTTATTCAAAAAAAACTTTTTATCTAACTTTAAAAGTATAAATATACTAGCATAGCCCACAGGAATGTTTACCCCAGCAATACAAGATATGTAGAATCCCACAAAACACAACAAACACACTTTTGCATATTTACACATGCAGTGCTAAAATGCAGCAATACAGCAATGACATTTAGCAAACTGAAAGCACATGTCTGACCTCTCAGAAACTCACCTGAGGTCCTCGACTCCAGCTACACATAAAACTTTTAATAAAGTCCTCACACCTTTGGTATGACAGTATTCCGATGCGGAAATAAAACTAACCGCTTTTCATCCATAATGACTGCAAAAAAAACTAAAATTCTACGGTTGACTGTTCTGGCTAATTTGCCATGTTCCTGAGAATAGAGCTGCAAGACTGTTGAGACACCTTATTCCCTGAGGAATCAGGTTGATCTTCTCCTCCCCAATCCTGATGACACAGCCCCTCCCTCAGAAACCCTCCCCTCCCACTCAACCTAAACTCAGCCCAACACCCATCAGCCGGGCACACAGATTGGAGGAGGTTACTTTACCCTTTCTCTGTGTATGTGTGTGTATCTGTCTGTCTTATTTATTTTAAGCTTTAGGTGAGGCACAGCTAAGTTTTACACAAAGTTAGAACAGTCCCATCCAAAGTAAACACTCACCTCATTATGTTTCATATTACTCTCATAGTATGTACCAACAGTACACTCTACTAGAAGTTTAACAAAAATATTAGACTTAAGAAAACTAATGGCTGATTAAATCACAATCATTTAAACCCAAAGTTGTTCCTGCACATACCTAAAGCATTTACCTATTATTAGCGTTAGCGCTACCCCTAATAGCCTGAAGCATGCTGTCTTTGTTTCACTGTTATGTAAACAGAGATCTCATTCACACTCAGACTACCTATACTGTAATGCGTATCACGTCGAGACACAAAGTGATCAGCATTTACATAGCAGTTTCTCCACAGTCACATTATGCTAAACACCCAAAAATGGCTTCAGAACTGTACGTTGCTGTACAACAGCACTTTTTGGTCCAGCTACCCACTAGAGATGATGTAAACAGAAGCCAGTCTTGGTGCCAAGACCTGCCATGGAGTGAGAGAGGATGAGCACATGGAGCAGGCATGGCCCACAAATAAGACTCAACAGACGGTGGGCACTGGGCCACTGCAGCAGGTGGAATTTGCCGAAGTGCATTTTGAGGATGAAGTGAAAAATGTGCAACCCTGAGGGCACGAGAGAAAGCTGCGTGTATCTCTGTTTCACAATGCTTTTTTTTGCTTATTTGGATGTGGAAGCATGGTAGCGGCTTCGTTCAGCTCACATTCTTTCGATCTTCTTGTTTATAAGACAAATAATGAACTAAAACTGCATCAAAATTAAGATAATTCCCTTTCCTCATTCATTTTCCTTCAGATTAGTGCCTTATTTATCATGAGTCGCCACAGAGGAATGAACCGATGACTATTTCAGCATATATTTTTTACAGCAGATGCCTGTTCAGTTACAATCCAGTACTGGGAAATACCCATACATTCACCCATAACTCACATTCACACACACACTATGTATGTCCAATTTAGTTCATTCAACGTACTTATACAGGCCAGTAGCCAGCGGGGTTCATTTGGTTCGAAACCCACCCCTCACTGAAAAAGGCCCAAAATTTGTCACATACATGAGCTTGTTTGTCCTATTTTGACTGCTATGCCATAATAATTTGTTAAAAAAATACATATGACAACAACCCATCGAAAAAGGTTTTAAGACCAAGCCGAATCCTGTGTCGGCTGTTGCTTCGGTGTGCCTTATCGTTTTAAAGTGACAAATTCTGAGTTCCAAATTCTGAATGAGGAAGGTTGAATGTGCTGGACAGTTTGTTATTTGCTTAATAAATGAGAAATGGCTAGTTTTTAGTTACAAATTTTAACATATTCCTATATGTTTCTATTAATATATATAAAATATTTTTGTATTTGAAAAATAAGTGTTGTTTCTTTAGGAAATATTTTTAGTACATCAAAACAGGTGGTTATGATGACCATCTGACAAGCTAATCCAGCAATAATAATAGTGCTTAAACATTGTAGTATTTAAATATCATAATTGGATAGAAAATGAGCCAAATAACTGCAAAAAAAAAAAAAACTATTTCTTTTACCAGGCTGGCTACGGCCCTGTTATAGTGCACGCAAACACAGGGAAAATCCACACAGAAATGCCAAGTGGCCCAGCCAGGACTCAAACCAGTAACCTTGCTGTGAATTGACACTGCCAACCACCGTGCCACCCAAAATTAACATAATATAGTTATATAAAAAATTGTTCCAAAAGCAAGAATCTTCCACCAAAAAACGTGTTTGACCCACATCTCTTCTTCTGGTGTATGGCCGCCCCATTTACCACACCTTCAAAACCAACATATCAAAGAACAGAACAAAACAAAACAAGTGATAATTAAACTAAATGAAAATACACTTTCACAAAATGCCTGCAACAGACGTTTTTACGAGAAGATTACAACCATTTACATTAGTTATATGTAACCATATGTCTTCCACTATCTTGGGCACTGACAAGATTTCACCCCATATCTTGATAACAGATCAATCAACACTTAGAAAAAGTGCAAGGAAGAAAACCAAACCTCTTAATTCCAAGATCTACAAACTAAAAGATACAAGGCATTTTTTGGCACAGCCTTAGACTGAAGTGTTCAGCAAACTTTAGCAGACTCATTTTTTTTTGACAGACACAATGAGATAGACTGCAGCTGTTCATGTGCATCTTCTCTTTCGCTTTCCTGTAATTTATTGCCCTTCCTCATTGTGAGCTTTTCTGACTCATTATCACCTAATTTGCCTTGGATTTCCATGTAACTGTAGATTGTGAAGGAATGAACTGATGCATGTTCTTGTGCAACTTTACAGAGGCTTACCTTCCAAAACTCTGTAAAATTTAATTAAGTTATTGTATGCACTTGAGCTGTGAATATTTAAATTGTGACAGTTTAGTCTTTCTAGATATGGTGTATGAATGAGTAAAAACAGATCTACAAAATCTTTGAAAATGAATTCTCAGTTGCGTGTTACTGTAAAGTCCTAAAGTAATATGCAAATAAACCTACAGGTACAATAGTGAATGGAGTACAATGGAGAATTAGTGGAATGGTGTGGCAATAAAAATGTTTAAGGAAGTTTAAAATGACATTTAAGAATTGTTTACTTTAGATAACAATTTTAAATTTACATATTTAAACTGAAATGGATACAGCATTTTGCTGCAAACATCAATTGATATTTTTAGAAATGTTAATATAAATATAAAGAAACATGATCAGAGTATTTTAAGTTTATACAGTGGAAAAGATCACAGAAAACAAAAATGTCATGTGTTTAATACTCAAGATAAAAAAAATGGGTCATTTTGACCCTTTAATACACTAACTATCATGCCCCTTTGACCTTATTCTTTAATCTGGAAGTGCACTTGTTTTTGCAGTTGTTTTAGAATTTCCGATTCAGCTGCCTATGGTAGAAAATGAATAATAAATGGCAGAAAACAGTCAGACCACTTGCTCTTCAAACACGTGTTTGCATGACTATACAGACAAATTAGAATAATATAAGAAGAAAATATCAGTTTGCAACATCAAGTTGAAAACAATAAGCTGTTTTTGATGTCTAAAAATAAATGGAAGTGAATGAACCTGCTCATATGTGTAGAATAAGGGTAATACAAACAACATTTTAATGTACTCAAATCATTTTTGTCTCACAAGTGTTTATGTGATGAGGATTCATCAGAACTTGATATCAGATAACAAACACTTTTCTCTCAGTGCAAAACTTTTCTTAAAGATTAAACACACATTATAATTTAAGTCTAAAGGAAAGAACATATATATGACTTATATTCATTGCTGTCATTTTAAGTTGCGAAAATAAAAAAGACACTGAATTCAATTGTTTTTGTGACAACATCACACAGCAAACAAACACCCAGGAATAACCTACTGATATGTTTGTAGTGTTCTAAATAAATATGGCTAATGTGATTATGTTCAAAGTTTCTGGTTTTCAAACAGACCAAGTGGTTTGTCTGTCAAAGTAAAAGAGCAGATGAAGGACTGAAATTCACAGCTGTCTGCGCCCTGTAAACATTATCCTGAACTCACAGAACACATGGCTGTCAGACCCATCAGGAGACTCGTCAATGATGTTTACATGGACGCAGTGCTGAGGACTTCTGTGAAAGTGTTCATGTCAGACTGGCTGAGATCAGTTAGTGGTCCATGTTTAAGAACATTTATTCAGCTTTTTAATGTATTTAAAGGAGGCAGGTTAGTAAAGGTAATGATGTAATTGCCAACTTTTAGAGCAATATTGCATGGCAATGTTGATGAGTGATGTTGTTTTCCTACTTTCCCATTGGAAATGGGCTACAAAACTGTATCTGGATCCATTAAATCAGTTGTGAGCAATTTCCCGAGATCCTCCAATCAGAATGCAAGCAGCGAATCACATGAACAATCACATTTGCTCAACGGCAGTTGAACGAGTAATTACTTTTGCTGCTTGTTCAAACTACTTAATTCTTAAATTTTTGTAACAACTTAATTGTTTTTCAATTCAATTACTGTAAGTTATATTGTTAACTTAGATGATTTGCTTTGGGACAACATGAATGAATTTAACCCAGGCTCATTTTGAAAATGAAGCCCTATATGCATTTCTGGAGAGCGCCAAATACGTGCCAGAAGTTACGTTTACATGTGCGCTTTTTCAGATCTCAGATTTCTCTTGCTACTGTCATTTGTGCCTGATCTTCTCGTGTAAATCTACCAGTGGCCGCTATCAACTGACTGACTAACTGATTGACTGAGTGATCAACTGACCCACCCTCTTTCTTCCCTAAACCCAACCAATAGTGTTTTCAGAAGCACCAATTGACCCACCCACCCACTTCACTAAACCTAACTGACATTGTTTAAAAATAATCCAGAAAAAGAAAAGCCCCCTGATTTTTACCACACTTTCAGATATTAACACATTCTCAACCTTTCATTTTCTTGTTTATTTAATTTTTTTTATTTTGTTTCTGTCTTACCTGCTGTTTGGCACCGCTTTTGCTGAGCTCGAACCTCGTCATCGATGTCATCTCCTCTCAGCACCTCAAATCCGCCAATGCACGACAAACTACTGAACAAACTGTTAAGAGTGGGAAAGCCGTCCGTACGGAGGATTAGTGGTCAGCTGGTAAGAGCGAAAAGAAAAGGCATCATACTGCAACATAGCGTTCATTTTAAAGATGAAATGCAGCCATACACACTTCTGGCTACATAATTTGAGCTCTCCAGAAATGTATATACGGCTACATTTTTAGAATGAGCCTGTGTTTTTTTGTTGAAATGTGAG